ACCAGACCGGTACATTTGCTTCGACAAAGCACCTGTATAATCAAGTTACTGTTATTGTTTATTCTAATCACCAAAATAATGTACAAGTATGTTTTTCCCAACAATCAACATTCTGCCATAAGGCTGTCATGGAAAGAAACCCGTATATTTTGTTTCTGCTTACTATGTGGTAGGTTGTCATGCTTTCAAACACTCAAAAATTAGATAAATGACAAGAATCCTGGCATTCAATGATAAATTTCAATTTTTGACAATATACGAAAGAATATTTGAAGAAAATTTTGAAATAAAGAATTTTACAGCTCTTTTGATAAAAGTAACAAGAAAGACTTTAAATTTTTCACGACAAAGGTAAAATGTCAATATTTTTTAAAAGAAATTTTTTCAGCACTGTGATGGATTTTTTTTTAGTTTAATAATGTATTATTCAAATAAAGTTGAAAAAATCAAAGTTAAACTTCTTTCATTTTACAAAAATTTGCCATTCAAAAATGGGTATTTTTTGAACTCAAGTATAGTTTATGAGTGTATATGACAGTTGACTTTAGTTTACGACCGAAATCTATAATTAACAAATGTAAAACAAAGTGTATCCGATAAATATAGTTTCACGATTTGTACAACTCTTAACTATGGTTTACGAATGTAAATTATAGTTTACAAATAATCCACACTATTGTTAGCGTCTTTTTACAGAAAGATAAACGTCTATAGCATTCGTAAACTATAGTTTACAACTGTTTAATATAATTTCTTAGAAGAAAACTATAGTTTATCGATCGTTAACTATAATTTACATTTGTAAACTATAGCTGACATTCGCTAAACCTAGTTTATCGTCTGATAAAGTATGCTTTTCTAATTGTGTTGAATTTGGTGTGCCATAGCAGTACACGCCAAATAAAGAAAGAACACGCTCCTACCAAAAATGAAAAAAGTACATCTATTCGAGCTGTAATTTCAGCAGGGACCTCTGCACTAATAATATAAAGGTCCCTGATGTCAGGGACTGTACACAGATGTGAAGTTTCTCTTTGAATAATAAAACACAAACTAATATCTATTTATAAGTATCTCTGATTTTACTCTGCCCATCAACCAATCAGCTTTGAAAAGGTTGTCCGATAAGCGAGGGCATTGCTTAACGCCTATTGAAATGAAGAGCGAAAACAATCGGGTTACTAAAATGAGTCCTAATGGGCCTTACATACAAAGATGATATCGTTACAAGCCTTGTCTGCCGGAACCATAACATATTGTTCATGTAGTCTTTCTAATTCTTTTATCACCTCCGAAAACGGAGGGATAGATGCTTCACATATTGCCTTTTAACTTTCTAACACAATTATTTGATATATTTCTAAAACACTGAATCCATTCTGACAGTGTTCCGGTCTTCCCCTTTAAATTTCGCCCAAAGTTTGGCATAATCTTTGACATAATTCATAACAGAAATGCTCTGTCGCCAATTGAAAGACCGGGGCTCCCTGTATTTAGGATCTTTTAAATTGATTACTTTACGGTCGTCATTTTCAACAATATTAACATCGATATCATCATATACATCGATATCACCAGTAATCTTATGTCCAGCGGGGCCATTGTTGAAAGAAGAGGAAGAACAAGAGCAAGAGGAATTAGTTTTAGATGTTCAATATCCAGGGTCGTGAGTTCGAATCTCGGCCGCGACTGACCTAAGTCGATAAAAAATGGGTAGCAATTGTTCCTACGCCATGCGCTCGGCACTTTGAAGTGAAAGTTGCGGGTCCTTCGGATGAGACCTTAAAAACCGAGGCCCCGTGTCACGGCAGGCGTTGGCACGATAAAGATCCGTCACTGCTCAGTGGCCCTGAGTGCCGAGTAAATGTCAAAATTTGAAGCCCTTCACCGGTATATGGTGACGTCTCTATATGAGTGAAAAATTCTCGAATGGGACGTAAAACAACATACAATCAATCAATCAATATCCAGGCATTGTAAGGATGGTTAACTTATAATTGAAAACTTTGGATGACTAGGAAATTAAGAAACTTGCATGAAAACCTTTTAATATGTGAAGTGTTTAGACTTTGTAAATAGCTAGACAACATATTCATTTCAGTACGGAAACCTTTGCCAAAATCAGGATTAACCATGAACTTTAGCAATCTGTACAGAACAAAGTTATAAACAATGATTAGCATTTTAAACAAAGGTGATGGGTGAACAAAGCGTGCAGAATGCCTTTAGCTTCAGATATATAAAAATCATATTCCATTTGTAAAGTTCTCATTGAAATTTTTGCAATTATTATTAAAAAAAAACTTTTCTGAGGAAAATGTTCTCGACAATTTTTTTTCCGTTATTAAAAAATAATGTAGTATTCGTTGGGTTCGAACCCTAGAAATAAAAATCCTGAGTATCACTTTTCATAAAGACTTACACGCTAACCACTGCGCTACACAACACCTGATGCATAGTGGCATTTAAATCATGTTTGTGATATGACCCTAGTGGACTTCAAGTATTTCTCAGAAAGATGCTAATGTTGTGTTATAAAAGTGTATTTTTAGGGTATAATGGATCCTTTTTTCCATGTTTTTGTTAAGCAAAAAATGTATATTTTTAACTTTGAAAATAAATTTCAAACAAAAGAAAAAAAATGGAGCGAAGATCCACTCATATCGAAATATTGTTTTTATACAGTATAAGAAATGATCCTTTTTGCCCTCTATAGTGTGTGTATGCTATTCAAATAATTCAATCTTTGTGAGATTTTTGCAAGAGATTTGTGGAGATTTTACGTAAAGTATTCTTAATGAATGTTAAATGAATAATCAAAGAAATTTTGTTGTAACTGAGATTTGTTTTCTCCTTCCTGTTCTCGCACTATAGGCATTTCGCTCGCCTTGTTCGCCCATCTTCTCTGTAAAGTTAAAATATCGACACTGTTAAAATGTTGAGCTGTATACTTGTATCGTATAATGAATGGTCTAAGATTTGGCATGTTGCAAATGATAATTTTCAATATTTTGGAATTGACATCTCACGAGTAATTAAAATTTATGCGCTCTCTCCATCTCTTTCTCCTTGACCGTTCAACCACCAACAGTTCGTTAACATTCAGTGGGGGTCTTTTTAAAAAATACTTTAGATAACTATAAAGAATAGATTTAAAATATTTTTGTTAAATTTAGTTTTGAATCCATCTCTTATCCTCTGTATTAATAAAAAGAATGCATGACTACAAAGAAGATAGAGGCAAACCGACCTCAATGCGATTTAAGTAGACTTTTTAAAATTGACCTCAGAATTCTTATATTTCTAAAGGTACATCCGATTAATGGCATGTCAGTTGCTGGGTCAAGCACCCTTCCCAAGTATTGCAAAATTAAAATTGCGAGGAAATTTCTCAAACTTGCCTTGAAGAAGTTTCAAACATTAGAATAAATCACCAAAGAATGCACAGTTGTTTTCGAAATAAAATTACCTTTGCCAATTAGCATGTCATTTTATTAATCATTTCCTTCATTTCAGATGTGTGAACTGTATTTTTGCTAACGGGCAATGATGGGGTGGGAAGCTATATGTAAGATCTTAATACAAACATGGGCTACAATGCTCACCTGAGTGGCCTTAGCTTTGCTTTTCTTTATTCTTTATTAAGAAGATTTTCTTTATTAAGAAGATTCTTTAAAAAATCGATCCATCTTTAGTTTATTTTCATGAAAATTTGACCCCATGCTTAGTCTTGAGGCCCTAGCCTTGCTCCAAGTAGTTAGGTCATAGTAAATTAAATCTTTGTTTTAAGTCCCTGGGTGGGTAGGTTTTCGTGAAAATCTGAAAAAAAACCCATCAGTTTGTAAAAATGTCAAAAACCTTTCTCTATTTTGGAAAATTGGATTCTGTTACATTTTGACGGCTACAATATCCTTTATCTTTGAAAGAAAAAGGAACAGATAAAAATGTGAAGTAAGAAAGCAAACCTTTAAATAAAAGAAAAAGAATCAAATGTGTTCTATTCCTTTCATTCTATGAAATCCTTGAGTTTCTTAAATGATAAGAGTAAAACAACATATAACAGCTTTTTTTTTTATTCTCTTCAATAAGTCAATATTTTGATATTTTTTAAAATATATATATTCGAAATGTGTTTGTTTTATTGCCGGACTGGGGCGGGGGATCTTTAAAAGAATTTCAGGGACGAAAAAAGATATTATTAACAAGGCATTATGACGTAGCAGAACATGAATCTACTTAGGTATGCTCATATATATCAGCATTATGACTTGGGAACGAATTGCTGTTTTTTGAGAAGAAAATTTAAAAAGATTATTCACATATGTTTCATTCATATCTAAAACTTCGATCCCCTAATGCGGTTTCATCTACCACGGGGTCACGAATTGAATCTAGGATTCACTCTAAAGCACTTTATTAATAAGTTTTGTCTTTTCTTGAGAAGTTTTTAAAAAAAAAACATCAAATTTTTCAATGTATTTTTTTATAATCTCCCCTTGAAATTTAATAAAAAAAAATTGCTATGAATATAAACAACAGACTTCAAATTATACATTTAGTAAATTATTTTGCATCTTTGTAAGAGTTTGCTGATGTTTAGATATCCAATAAGTCTTAGCTTTCGCAAATGACATTTTGACTGGATAAATAATAAAAACAAATAGTGAGTATTGTTCTGAAAATTAGTTATGCAATTGATTCTATAAATTCTGATAACATTCAAATACTACAAAAAATACATAATATTAGAAAGAAATATATTTTTGAAAGAAAACGACGAAATTATCACATTGCTTCATGATGTCCAACTTAGGTAAATGTTTACTCAGAAAATTGAATATAAAAAATCACATGATACGATTAGTGATATATTCTCAAACATTTTACAGAGCTAATGACGGAGAAATATTAAAAGAAACGTTTCTTTCAATGGATGGAAATCGGAGAAATTTTCGACAAACGGCACAACGACATTCGAAACATAGGTGAATAAACAACTTATGAAATCTCAACAAAAATCCATACCATGGAAACTATATACCTCAAGGATCCTTCTCTTCTTATGGGTCATTACAAGGGCACAAAGTTCAAGTACACTGACATCAGAAACAACATCAACAGTAACAGATAATCCTATAATATCAACACAAACATTTCCTTCGAATATAACAGTATCAGAGTCCACATTATCCACCAGCGATACATCAATATCATTATCCACTACTTCACAAACATATGAAACTAAAGACTCAAACAATACAACAGAAGAAAACGATGCAGGTACCTCCACAGCTGAATCTACATTTACAACAATAGAATTAAACACACCTAGCACAATAGTAGAAAGCACAGAATTATCCACTGTAACAAAAACTTCCAGTTCATTCACTCCAACAACTACAGAGACAATAACGACTAAAACAAACACAACGGAACTTACAGTGACATCCACTGTTGAAAGAACCACAGCTGTTCCAACAACTGTAAGCAGCACAAGTGAAGCCAGCACCTCTACAACTCAAGCTACATTGACATCCACAGTTGCAGACACAACAACCTCAACACTAGGCAGCACGGAGTCCTCCACTGTCAGTAGCTCTACGGCTGAAGTCACTTCAACAAGTACAGAACCTAGCACGACAAGTGAAACCAGCGCAACAACAAGCAGTACTGAAGCCAGCACAACAGCTACAGAAAGCAGCACAGTTGTTCCAACAACTGTAAGCAGCACAAGTGAAGCCAGCACCTCTACAACTCAAGCTACATTGACATCCACAGTTGCAGACACAACAACCTCAACACTAGGCAGCACGGAGTCCTCCACTGTCAGTAGCTCTACCGCTGAAGTTACTTCAACAAGTACAGAACCTAGCACGACAAGTGAAACCAGCGCAACAACAAGCAGTACTGAAGCCAGCACAACAGCTACAGAAAGCACCACAGCTGTTCCAACAACTGTAAGCAGCACAAGTGAAGCCAGCACCTCTACAACTCAAGCTACATTAACATCCACAGTTGCAGACACAACAACCTCAACACTAGGCAGCACGGAGTCCTCCACTGTCAGTAGCTCTACCGCTGAAATCACTTCAACAAGTACAGAACCTAGCACGACAAGTGAAACCAGCGCAACAACAAGCAGTACTGAAGCCAGCACAACAGCTACAGAAAGCACCACAGCTGTTCCAACAACTGTAAGCAGCACAAGTGAAGCCAGCACCTCTACAGCTCAAGCTACATTGACATCCACAGTTGCAGACACAACAACCTCAACACTAGGCAGCACGGAGTCCTCCACTGTCAGTAGCTCTACGGCTGAAGTCACTTCAACAAGTACAGAACCTAGCACGACAAGTGAAACCAGCGCAACAACAAGCAGTACTGAAGCCAGCACAACAGCTACAGAAAGCACCACAGCTGTTCCAACAACTGTAAGCAGCACAAGTGAAGCCAGCACCTCTACAACTCAAGCTACATTGACATCCACAGTTGCAGACACAACAACCTCAAGACTAGAGAGCACGGAGTCCTCCACTGTCAGTAGCTCTACGGCTGAAGTCACTTCAACAAGTACAGAACCTAGCACGACAAGTGAAACCAGCGCAACAACAAGCAGTACTGAAGCCAGCACAACAGCTATAGAAAGCAGCACAGCTGTTCCAACAACTGTAAGCAGCACAAGTGAAGCCAGCACCTCTACAACTCAAGCTACATTGACATCCACAGTTGCAGACACAACAACCTCAACACTAGGCAGCACGGAGTCCTCCACTGTCAGTAGCTCTACCGCTGAAGTCACTTCAACAAGTACAGAACCTAGCACGACAAGTGAAACCAGCGAAACAAGTAGCAGTACTGAAGCCAGCACAACAGCTACAGAAAGCACCACAGCTGTTCCAACAACTGTAAGCAGCACAAGTGAAGCCAGCACCTCTACAACTCAAGCTACATTGACATCCACAGTTGCAGACACAACAACCTCAACACTAGGCAGCACGGAGTCCTCCACTGTCAGTAGCTCTACGACTGAAGTCACTTCAACAAGTACAGAACCTAGCACGACAAGTGAAACCAGCGCAACAACAAGCAGTACTGAAGCCAGCACAACAGCTACAGAAAGCACCACAGCTGTTCCAACAACTGTAAGCAGCACAAGTGAAGCCAGCACCTCTACAACTCAAGCTACATTGACATACACAGTTGCAGACACAACAACCTCAACACTAGGCAGCACGGAGTCCTCCACTGTCAGTAGCTCTACCGCTGAAGTCACTTCAACAAGTACAGAACCTAGCACGACAAGTGAAACCAGCGCAACAACAAGCAGTACTGAAGCCAGCACAACAGCTACAGAAAGCAGCACAGCTGTTCCAACAACTGTAAGCAGCACAAGTGAAGCCAGCACCTCTACAACTCAAGCTACATTGACATCCACAGTTGCAGACACAACAACCTCAACACTAGAGAGCACGGAGTCCTCCACTGTCAGTAGCTCTACCGCTGAAGTCACTTCAACAAGTACAGAACCTAGCACGACAAGTGAAACCAGCGCAACAACAAGCAGTACTGAAGCCAGCACAACAGCTACAGAAAGCACCACAGCTGTTCCAACAACTGTAAGCAGCACAAGTGAAGCCAGCACCTCTACAACTCAAGCTACATTGACATCCACAGTTGCAGACACAACAACCTCAAAACTAGGCAGCACGGAGTCCTCCACTGTCAGTAGCTCTACCGCTGAAGTCATTTCAACAAGTACAGAACCTAGCACGACAAGTGAAACCAGCGCAACAACAAGCAGTACTGAAGCCAGCACACCAGCTACAGGAAGCACCACAGCTGTTCCAACAACTGTAAGCAGCACAAGTGAAGCCAGCACCTCTACAACTCAAGCTACATTGACATCCACAGTTGCAGACACAACAACCTCAACACTAGGCAGCACGGAGTCCTCCACTGTCAGTAGCTCTACCGCTGAAGTCACTTTAACAAGTACAGAACCTAGCACGACAAGTGAAACCAGCGAAACAAGTAGCAGTACTGAAGCCAGCACAACAGCTACAGAAAGCACCACAGCTGTTCCAACAACTGTAAGCAGCACAAGTGAAGCCAGCACCTCTACAACTCAAGCTACATTGACATCCACAGTTGCAGACACAACAACCTCAACACTAGGCAGCACGGAGTCCTCCACTGTCAGTAGCTCTACGACTGAAGTCACTTCAACAAGTACAGAACCTAGCACGACAAGTGAAACCAGCGCAACAACAAGCAGTACTGAAGCCAGCACAACAGCTGCAGAAAGCACCACAGCTGTTCCAACAACTGTAAGCAGCACAAGTGAAGCCAGCACCTCTACAACTCAAGCTACATTGACATCCACAGTTGCAGACACAACAACCTCAAGACTAGAGAGCACGGAGTCCTCCACTGTCAGTAGCTCTACGGCTGAAGTCACTTCAACAAGTACAGAACCTAGCACGACAAGTGAAACCAGCGCAACAACAAGCAGTACTGAAGCCAGCACAACAGCTACAGAAAGCAGCACAGCTGTTCCAACAACTGTAAGCAGCACAAGTGAAGCCAGCACCTCTACAACTCAAGCTACATTGACATCCACAGTTGCAGACACAACAACCTCAACACTAGGCAGCACGGAGTCCTCCACTGTCAGTAGCTCTACCGCTGAAGTCACTTCAACAAGTACAAAACCTAGCACGACAAGTGAAACCAGCGCAACAACAAGCAGTACTGAAGCCAGCACAACAGCTACAGAAAGCAGCACAGCTGTTCCAACAACTGTAAGCAGCACAAGTGAAGCCAGCACCTCTACAACTCAAGCTACATTGACATCCACAGTTGCAGACACAACAACCTCAACACTAGGCAGCACGGAGTCCTCCACTGTCAGTAGCTCTACGGCTGAAGTCACTTCAACAAGTACAGAACCTAGCACGACAAGTGAAACCAGCGCAACAACAAGCAGTACTGAAGCCAGCACAACAGCTACAGAAAGCAGCACAGCTGTTCCAACAACTGTAAGCAGCACAAGTGAAGCCAGCACCTCTACAACTCAAGCTACATTGACATCCACAGTTGCAGACACAACAACCTCAAGACTAGGCAGCACGGAGTCCTCCACTGTCAGTAGCTCTACTGCTGAAGTCACTTCAACAAGTACAGAACCTAGCACGACAAGTGAAACCAGCGCAACAACAAGCAGTACTGAAGCCAGCACAACAGCTACAGAAAGCACCACAGCTGTTCCAACAACTGTAAGCAGCACAAGTGAAGCCAATACCTCTACAACTCAAGCTACATTGACATCCACAGTTTCAGACACAACAACCTCAACATTAGGCAGCACGGAGTCCTCCACTGTCAGTAGCTCTACGGCTGAAGTCACTTCACCAAGTACAGAACCTAGCACGACAAGTGAAACCAGCGCAACAACAAGCAGTACTGAAGCCAGCACAACAGCTACAGAAAGCACCACAGCTGTTCCAACAACTGTAAGCAGCACAAGTGAAGCCAGCACCTCTACAACTCAAGCTACATTGACATCCACAGTTGCAGACACAACAACCTCAACACTAGGCAGCACGGAGTCCTCCACTGTCAGTAGCTCTACGACTGAAGTCACTTCAACAAGTACAGAACCTAGCACGACAAGTGAAACCAGCGCAACAACAAGCAGTACTGAAGCCAGCACAACAGCTACAGAAAGCACCACAGCTGTTCCAACAACTGTAAGCAGCACAAGTGAAGCCAGCACCTCTACAACTCAAGCTACATTGACATCCACAGTTGCAGACACAACAACCTCAAGACTAGAGAGCACGGAGTCCTCCACTGTCAGTAGCTCTACGGCTGAAGTCACTTCAACAAGTACAGAACCTAGCACGACAAGTGAAACCAGCGCAACAACAAGCAGTACTGAAGCCAGCACAACAGCTACAGAAAGCAGCACAGCTGTTCCAACAACTGTAAGCAGCACAAGTGAAGCCAGCACCTCTACAACTCAAGCTACATTGACATCCACAGTTGCAGACACAACAACCTCAACACTAGGCAGCACGGAGTCCTCCACTGTCAGTAGCTCTACCGCTGAAGTCACTTCAACAAGTACAGAACCTAGCACGACAAGTGAAACCAGCGCAACAACAAGCAGTACTGAAGCCAGCACAACAGCTACAGAAAGCACCACAGCTGTTCCAACAACTGTAAGCAGCACAAGTGAAGCCAGCACCTCTACAACTCAAGCTACATTGACATCCACAGTTGCAGACACAACAACCTCAACACTAGGCAGCACGGAGTCCTCCACTGTCAGTAGCTCTACTGCTGAAGTCACTTCAACAAGTACAGAACCTAGCACGACAAGTGAAACCAGCGCAACAACAAGCAGTACTGAAGCCAGCACAACAGCTACAGAAAGCACCACAGCTGTTCCAACAACTGTAAGCAGCACAAGTGAAGCCAATACCTCTACAACTCAAGCTACATTGACATCCACAGTTTCAGACACAACAACCTCAACATTAGGCAGCACGGAGTCCTCCACTGTCAGTAGCTCTACGGCTGAAGTCACTTCACCAAGTACAGAAGCTAGCACGACAAGTGAAACCAGCGCAACAACAAGCAGTACTGAAGCCAGCACAACAGCTACAGAAAGCACCACAGCTGTTCCAACAACTGTAAGCAGCACAAGTGAAGCCAGCACCTCTACAACTCAAGCTACATTGACATCCACAGTTGCAGACACAACAACCTCAAGACTAGGCAGCACGGAGTCCTCCACTGTCAGTAGCTCTACGACTGAAGTCACTTCAACAAGTACAGAACCTAGCACGACAAGTGAAACCAGCGCAACAACAAGCAGTACTGAAGCCAGCACAACAGCTACAGAAAGCACCACAGCTGTTCCAACAACTGTAAGCAGCACAAGTGAAGCCAGCACCTCTACAACTCAAGCTACATTGACATACACAGTTGCAGACACAACAACCTCAACACTAGGCAGCACGGAGTCCTCCACTGTCAGTAGCTCTACCGCTGAAGTCACTTCAACAAGTACAGAACCTAGCACGACAAGTGAAACCAGCGCAACAACAAGCAGTACTGAAGCCAGCACAACAGCTACAGAAAGCAGCACAGCTGTTCCAACAACTGTAAGCAGCACAAGTGAAGCCAGCACCTCTACAACTCAAGCTACATTGACATCCACAGTTGCAGACACAACAACCTCAAGACTAGAGAGCACGGAGTCCTCCACTGTCAGTAGCTCTACGGCTGAAGTCACTTCAACAAGTACAGAACCTAGCACGACAAGTGAAACCAGCGCAACAACAAGCAGTACTGAAGCCAGCACAACAGCTACAGAAAGCAGCACAGCTGTTCCAACAACTGTAAGCAGCACAAGTGAAGCCAGCACCTCTACAACTCAAGCTACATTGACATCCACAGTTGCAGACACAACAACCTCAACACTAGGCAGCACGGAGTCCTCCACTGTCACTAGCTCTACGGCTGAAGTCACTTCAACAAGTACAGAACCTAGCACGACAAGTGAAACCAGCGCAACAACAAGCAGTACTGAAGCCAGCACAACAGCTACAGAAAGCAGCACAGCTGTTCCAACAACTGTAAGCAGCACAAGTGAAGCCAGCACCTCTACAACTCAAGCTACATTGACATCCACAGTTGCAGACACAACAACCTCAACACTAGGCAGCACGGAGTCCTCCACTGTCAGTAGCTCTACGGCTGAAGTCACTTCAACAAGTACAGAACCTAGCGCGACAAGTGAAACCAGCGCAACAACAAGCAGTACTGAAGCCAGCACAACAGCTACAGAAAGCACCACAGCTGTTCCAACAACTGTAAGCAGCACAAGTGAAGCCAGCACCTCTACAACTCAAGCTACATTGACATCCACAGTTGCAGACACAACAACCTCAACACTAGGAAGCACGGAGTTCTCCACTGTCAGTAGCTCTACCGCTGAAGTCACTTCAACAAGTACAGAATCTAGCACGAAGAGTGAAACCAGCGCAACAACAAGCAGTACTGAAGCCAGCACAACAGCTACAGAAAGCACCACAGCTCTCCCAACAACTGTAAGCAGCACAAGTGAAGCCAGCACCTCTACAACTCAAGCTACATTGACATCCACAGTTGCAGACACAACAACCTCAACACTAGGCAGCACGGAGTCCTCCACTGTCAGTAGCTCTACGGCTGAAGTCACTTCAACAAGTACAGAACCTAGCACGACAAGTGAAACCAGCGCAACAAGTAGCAGTACTGAAGCCAGCACAACAGCTACAGAAAGCACCACAGCTGTTCCAACAACTGTAAGCAGCACAAGTGAAGCCAGCACCTCTACAACTCAAGCTACATTGACATCCACAGTTGCAGACACAACAACCTCAACACTAGGAAGCACGGAGTTCTCCACTGTCAGTAGCTCTACCGCTGAAGTCACTTCAACAAGTACAGAATCTAGCACGAAGAGTGAAACCAGCGCAACAACAAGCAGTACTGAAGCCAGCACAACAGCTACAGAAAGCACCACAGCTGTTCCAACAACTGTAAGCAGCACAAGTGAAGCCAGCACCTCTACAACTCAAGCTACATTGACATCCACAGTTGCAGACACAACAACCTCAACACTAGGCAGCACGGAGTCCTCCACTGTCAGTAGCTCTACGGCTGAAGTCACTTCAACAAGTACAGAACCTAGCACGACAAGTGAAACCAGCGCAACAACAAGCAGTACTGAAGCCAGCACAACAGCTACAGAAAGCACCACAGCTGTTCCAACAACTGTAAGCAGCACAAGTGAAGCCAGCACCTCTACAACTCAAGCTACATTGACATCCACAGTTGCAGACACAACAACCTCAACACTAGGAAGCACGGAGTTCTCCACTGTCAGTAGCTCTACCGCTGAAGTCACTTCAACAAGTACAGAATCTAGCACGAAGAGTGAAACCAGCGCAACAACAAGCAGTACTGAAGCCAGCACAACAGCTACAGAAAGCACCACAGATGTTCCAACAACTGTAAGCAGCACAAGTGAAGCCAGCACCTCTACAACTCAAGCTACATTGACATCCACAGTTGCAGACACAACAACCTCCACACTAGGCAGCACGGAGTCCTCCACTGTCAGTAGCTCTACGGCTGAAGTCACTTCACCAACTACAGAACCTAGCACGACAAGTGAAACCAGCGCAACAACAAGCAGTACTGAAGCCAGCACAACAGCTACAGAAAGCACCACAGCTGTTCCAACAACTGTAAGCAGCACAAGTGAAGCCAGCACCTCTACAACTCAAGCTACATTGACATCCACAGTTGCAGACACAACAACCTCAACACTAGGCAGCGATAATTCCTCCACTGTCAGTAGCTCTACGGCTGAAGTCACTTCAACAAGTACAGAACCTAGCACGACAAGTGAAACCAGCGCAACAACAAGCAGTACTGAAGCCAGCACAACAGCTACAGAAAGCACCACAGCTGTTCCAACAACTGTAAGCAGCACAAGTGAAGCCAGCACCTCTACAATTCAAGCTACATTGACATCCACAGTTGCAGACACAACAACCTCAACACTAGGAAGCACGGAGTTCTCCACTGTCAGTAGCTCTACCGCTGAAGTCACTTCAACAAGTACAGAATCTAGCACGAAGAGTGAAACCAGCGCAACAACAAGCAGTACTGAAGCCAGCACAACAGCTACAGAAAGCACCACAGATGTTCCAACAACTGTAAGCAGCACAAGTGAAGCCAGCACCTCTACAACTCAAGCTACATTGACATCCACAGTTGCAGACACAACAACCTCAACACTAGGCAGCACGGAGTCCTCCACTGTCAGTAGCTCTACGGCTGAAGTCACTTCACCAACTACAGAACCTAGCACGACAAGTGAAACCAGCGCAACAACAAGCAGTACTGAAGCCAGCACAACAGCTACAGAAAGCACCACAGCTGTTCCAACAACTGTAAGCAGCACAAGTGAAGCCAGCACCTCTACAACTCAAGCTACATTGACATCCACAGTTGCAGACACAACAACCTCAACACTAGGCAGCGATAATTCCTCCACTGTCAGTAGCTCTACGGCTGAAGTCACTTCAACAAGTACAGAACCTAGCACGACAAGTGAAACCAGCGCAACAACAAGCAGTACTGAAGCCAGCACAACAGCTACAGAAAGCACCACAGCTGTTCCAACAACTGTAAGCAGCACAAGTGAAGCCAGCACCTCTACAACTCAAGCTACATTGACATCCACAGTTGCAGACACAACAACCTCAACACTAGGAAGCACGGAGTTCTCCACTGTCAGTAGCTCTACCGCTGAAGTCACTTCAACAAGTACAGAATCTAGCACGACAAGTGAAACCAGCGCAACAAGTAGCAGTACTGAAGCCAGCACAACAGCTACAGAAAGCACCACAGCTGTTCCAACAACTGTAAGCAGCACAAGTGAAGCCAGCACCTCTACAACTCAAGCTACATTGACATCCACAGTTGCAGACACAACAACCTCAACACTAGGCAGCACGGAGTCCTCCACTGTCAGTAGCTCTACCGCTGAAGTCACTTCAACAAGTACAGAACCTAGCACGACAAGTGAAACCAGCGCAACAACAAGCAGTACTGAAGCCAGCACAACAGCTACAGAAAGCACCACAGCTGTTCCAACAACTGTAAGCAGCACAAGTGAAGCCAGCACCTCTACAACTCAAGCTACATTGACATCCACAGTTGCAGACACAACAACCTCAAGACTAGGCAGCACGGAGTCCTCCACTGTCAGTAGCTCTACTGCTGAAGTCACTTCAACAAGTACAGAACCTAGCACGACAAGTGAAACCAGCGCAACAACAAGCAGTACTGAAGCCAGCACAACAGCTACAGAAAGCACCACAGCTGTTCCAACAACTGTAAGCAGCACAAGTGAAGCCAATACCTCTACAACTCAAGCTACATTGACATCCACAGTTTCAGACACAACAACCTCAACATTAGGCAGCACGGAGTCCTCCACTGTCAGTAGCTCTACGGCTGAAGTCACTTCACCAAGTACAGAAGCTAGCACGACAAGTGAAACCAGCGCAACAACAAGCAGTACTGAAGCCAGCACAACAGCTACAGAAAGCACCACAGCTGTTCCAACAACTGTAAGCAGCACAAGTGAAGCCAGCACCTCTACAACTCAAGCTACATTGACATCCACAGTTGCAGACACAACAACCTCAACACTAGGCAGCACGGAGTCCTCCACTGTCAGTAGCTCTACGACTGAAGTCACTTCAACAAGTACAGAACCTAGCACGACAAGTGAAACCAGCGCAACAACAAGCAGTACTGAAGCCAGCACAACAGCTACAGAAAGCACCACAGCTGTTCCAACAACTGTAAGCAGCACAAGTGAAGCCAGCACCTCTACAACTCAAGCTACATTGACATACACAGTTGCAGACACAACAACCTCAACACTAGGCAGCACGGAGTCCTCCACTGTCAGTAGCTCTACCGCTGAAGTCACTTCAACAAGTACAGAACCTAGCACGACAAGTGAAACCAGCGCAACAACAAGCAGTACTGAAGCCAGCACAACAGCTACAGAAAGCACCACAGCTGTTCCAACAACTGTAAGCAGCACAAGTGAAGCCAGCACCTCTACAACTCAAGCTACATTGACATCCACAGTTGCAGACACAACAACCTCAAGACTAGGCAGCACGGAGTCCTCCACTGTCAGTAGCTCTACGGCTGAAGTCACTTCAACAAGTACAGAACCTAGCACGACAAGTGAAACCAGCGCAACAAGTAGCAGTACTGAAGCCAGCACAACAGCTACAGAAAGCACCACAGCTGTTCCAACAACTGTAAGCAGCACAAGTGAAGCCAGCACCTCTACAACTCAAGCTACATTGACATCCACAGTTGCAGACACAACAACCTCAACACTAGGAAGCACGGAGTTCTCCACTGTCAGTAGCTCTACCGCTGAAGTCACTTCAACAAGTACAGAATCTAGCACGAAGAGTGAAACCAGCGCAACAACAAGCAGTACTGAAGCCAGCACAACAGCTACAGAAAGCACCACAGCTGTTCCAACAACTGTAAGCAGCACAAGTGAAGCCAGCACCTCTACAACTCAAGCTACATTGACATCCACAGTTGCAGACACAACAACCTCAACACTAGGCAGCACGGAGTCCTCCACTGTCAGTAGCTCTACGGCTGAAGTCACTTCAACAAGTACAGAACCTAGCACGACAAGTGAAACCAGCGCAACAACAAGCAGTACTGAAGCCAGCACAACAGCTACAGAAAGCACCACAGCTGTTCCAACAACTGTAAGCAGCACAAGTGAAGCCAGCACCTCTACAACTCAAGCTACATTGACATCCACAGTTGCAGACACAACAACCTCAACACTAGGAAGCACGGAGTTCTCCACTGTCAGTAGCTCTACCGCTGAAGTCACTTCAACAAGTACAGAATCTAGCACGAAGAGTGAAACCAGCGCAACAACAAGCAGTACTGAAGCCAGCACAACAGCTACAGAAAGCACCACAGATGTTCCAACAACTGTAAGCAGCACAAGTGAAGCCAGCACCTCTACAACTCAAGCTACATTGACATCCACAGTTGCAGACACAACAACCTCCACACTAGGCAGCACGGAGTCCTCCACTGTCAGTAGCTCTACGGCTGAAGTCACTTCACCAACTACAGAACCTAGCACGACAAGTGAAACCAGCGCAACAACAAGCAGTACTGAAGCCAGCACAACAGCTACAGAAAGCACCACAGCTGTTCCAACAACTGTAAGCAGCACAAGTGAAGCCAGCACCTCTACAACTCAAGCTACATTGACATCCACAGTTGCAGACACAACAACCTCAACACTAGGCAGCGATAATTCCTCCACTGTCAGTAGCTCTACGGCTGAAGTCACTTCAACAAGTACAGAACCTAGCACGACAAGTGAAACCAGCGCAACAACAAGCAGTACTGAAGCCAGCACAACAGCTACAGAAAGCACCACAGCTGTTCCAACAACTGTAAGCAGCACAAGTGAAGCCAGCACCTCTACAATTCAAGCTACATTGACATCCACAGTTGCAGACACAACAACCTCAACACTAGGAAGCACGGAGTTCTCCACTGTCAGTAGCTCTACCGCTGAAGTCACTTCAACAAGTACAGAATCTAGCACGAAGAGTGAAACCAGCGCAACAACAAGCAGTACTGAAGCCAGCACAACAGCTACAGAAAGCACCACAGATGTTCCAACAACTGTAAGCAGCACAAGTGAAGCCAGCACCTCTACAACTCAAGCTACATTGACATCCACAGTTGCAGACACAACAACCTCAACACTAGGCAGCACGGAGTCCTCCACTGTCAGTAGCTCTACGGCTGAAGTCACTTCACCAACTACAGAACCTAGCACGACAAGTGAAACCAGCGCAACAACAAGCAGTACTGAAGCCAGCACAACAGCTACAGAAAGCACCACAGCTGTTCCAACAACTGTAAGCAGCACAAGTGAAGCCAGCACCTCTACAACTCAAGCTACATTGACATCCACAGTTGCAGACACAACAACCTCAACACTAGGCAGCGATAATTCCTCCACTGTCAGTAGCTCTACGGCTGAAGTCACTTCAACAAGTACAGAATCTAGCACGAAGAGTGAAACCAGCGCAACAACAAGCAGTACTGAAGCCAGCACAACAGCTACAGAAAGCACCACAGATGTTCCAACAACTGTAAGCAGCACAAGTGAAGCCAGCACCTCTACAACTCAAGCTACATTGACATCCACAGTTGCAGACACAACAACCTCAACACTAGGAAGCACGGAGTCCTCCACTGTCAGTAGCTCTACGACTGAAGTCACTTCAACAAGTACAGAACCTAGCACGACAAGTGAAACCAGCCCAACAACAAGCAGTACTGAAGCCAGCACAACAGCTACAGAAAGCACCACAGCTGTTCCAACAACTGTAAGCAGCACAAGTGAAGCCAGCACCTCTACAACTCAAGCTACATTGACATCCACAGTTGCAGACACAACAACCTCAACACTAGGAAGCACGGAGTTCTCCACTGTCAGTAGCTCTACCGCTGAAGTCACTTCAACAAGTACAGAATCTAGCACGAAGAGTGAAACCAGCGCAACAACAAGCAGTACTGAAGCCAGCACAACAGCTACAGAAAGCACCACAGATGTTCCAACAACTGTAAGCAGCACAAGTGAAGCCAGCACCTCTACAACTCAAGCTACATTGACATCCACAGTTGCAGACACAACAACCTCCACACTAGACAGCACGGAGTCCTCCACTGTCAGTAGCTCTACGGCTGAAGTCACTTCACCAAGTACAGAACCTAGCACGACAAGTGAAACCAGCGCAACAACAAGCAGTACTGAAGCCAGCACAACAGCTACAGAAAGCACCACAGCTGTTCCAACAACTGTAAGCAGCACAAGTGAAGCCAGCACCTCTACAACTCAAGCTACATTGACATCCACAGTTGCAGACACAACAACCTCAACACTAGGCAGCGATAATTCCTCCACTGTCAGTAGCTCTACGGCTGAAGTCACTTCAACAAGTACAGAACCTAGCACGACAAGTGAAACCAGCGCAACAACAAGCAGTACTGAAGCCAGCACAACAGCTACAGAAAGCACCACAGCTGTTCCAACAACTGTAAGCAGCACAAGTGAAGCCAGCACCTCTACAACTCAAGCTACATTGACATCCACAGTTGCAGACACAACAACCTCAACACTAGGAAGCACGGAGTTCTCCACTGTCAGTAGCTCTACCGCTGAAGTCACTTCAACAAGTACAGAATCTAGCACGACAAGTGAAACCAGCGCAACAAGTAGCAGTACTGAAGCCAGCACAACAGCTACAGAAAGCACCACAGCTGTTCCAACAACTGTAAGCAGCACAAGTGAAGCCAGCACCTCTACAACTCAAGCTACATTGACATCCACAGTTGCAGACACAACAACCTCAACACTAGGCAGCACGGAGTCCTCCACTGTCAGTAGCTCTACCGCTGAAGTCACTTCAACAAGTACAGAACCTAGCATGACAAGTGAAACCAGCGCAACAACAAGCAGTACTGAAGCCAGCACAACAGCTACAGAAAGCACCACAGCTGTTCCAACAACTGTAAGCAGCACAAGTGAAGCCAGCACCTCTACAACTCAAGCTACATTGACATCCACAGTTGCAGACACAACAACCTCAACACTAGGCAGCACGGAGTCCTCCACTGTCAGTAGCTCTACCGCTGAAGTCACTTCAACAAGTACAGAATCTAGCACGACAAGTGAAACCAGCGCAACAACAAGCAGTACTGAAGCCAGCACAACAGCTATAGAAAGCAGCACAGCTGTTCCAATAACTGTAAGCAGCACAAGTGAAGCCAGCACCTCTACAACTCAAGCTACATTGACATCCACAGTTGCAGACACAACAACCTCAACACTAGGCAGCACGGAGTCCTCCACTGTCAGTAGCTCTACCGCTGAAGTCACTTCAACAAGTACAGAACCTAGCACGACAAGTGCAACCAGTGCAACAACAAGCAGTACTGAAGCCAGCACAACAGCTACAGAAAGCAGCACAGCTGTTCCAACAACTGTAAGCAGCACAAGTGAAGGCAGCACCTCTACAACTCAAGCTACATTGACATCCACAATTGCAGACACAACAACCTCAACACTAGGCAGCACGGAGTCCTCCACTGTCAGTAGCTCTACGGCTGAAGTCACTTCAACAAGTACAGAACCTAGCACGACAAGTGAAACCAGCGCAACAACAAGCAGTACTGAAGCCAGCATAACAGCTACAGAAAGCACCACAGCTGTTCCAACAACTGTAAGCAGCACAAGTGAAGCCAGCACCTCTACAACTCAAGCTACATTGACATCCACAGTTGCAGACACAACAACCTCAACACTAGGCAGCACGGAGTCCTCCAATGTCAGTAGCTCTACGGCTGAAATCACTTCAACAAGTACAGAATCTAGCACGACAAGTGAAACCAGCGCAACAACAAGCAGTACTGAAGCCAGCACAACAGCTACAGAAAGCACCACAGCTGTTCCAACAACTGTAAGCAGCACAAGTGAAGCCAGCACCTCTACAACTCAAGCTACATTGACATCCACAGTTGCAGACACAACAACCTCAACACTAGGCAGCACGGAGTCCTCCACTGTCAGTAGCTCTACCGCTGAAGTCACTTCAACAAGTACAGAAGCTAGCACGACAAGTGAAACCAGCGCAACAACAAGCAGTACTGAAGCCAGCACAACAGCTACAGAAAGCACCACAGCTGTTCCAATAACTGTAAGCAGCACAAGTGAAGCCAGCACCTCTACAACTCAAGCTACATTGACATCCACAGTTGCAGACACAACAACCTCAACACTAGGCAGCACGGAGTCCTCCACTGTCAGTAGCTCTACGGCTGAAGTCACTTCACCAAGTACAGAACCTAGCACGACAAGTGAAACCAGCGCAACAACAAGCAGTACTGAAGCCAGCACAACAGCTACAGAAAGCAGCACAGCTGTTCCAACAACTGTAAGCAACACAAGTGAAGCCAGCACCTCTACAACTCAAGCTACATTGACATCCACAGTTGCAGACACAACAACCTCAACACTAGGCAGCACGGAGTCCTCCACTGTCAGTAGCTCTACGGCTGAAGTCACTTCAACAAGTACAGAACCTAGCACGACAAGTGAAACCAGCGCAACAAGTAGCAGTACTGAAGCCAGCACAACAGCTACAGAAAGCACCACAGCTGTTCCAACAACTGTAAGCAGCACAAGTGAAGCCAGCACCTCTACAACTCAAGCTACATTGACATCCACAGTTGCAGACACAACAACCTCAACACTAGGCAGCACGGAGTCCTCCACTGTCAGTAGCTCTACGGCTGAAGTCACTTCAACAAGTACAGAAGCTAGCACGAAGAGTGAAACCAGCGCAACAACAAGCAGTACTGAAGCCAGCACAACAGCTACAGAAAGCACCACATCTGTTCCAACAACTGTAAGCAGCACAAGTGAAGCCAGCACCTCTACAACTCAAGCTACATTGACATCCACAGTTGCAGACACAACAACCTCAACACTAGGCAGCACGGAGTCCTCCACTGTCAGTAGCTCTACCGCTGAAGTCACTTCAACAAGTACAGAACCTAGCATGACAAGTGAAACCAGCGCAACAAGTAGCAGTACTAAAGCCAGCACAACAGCTACAGAAAGCAGCACAGCTGTTCCAACAACTGTAAGCAGCACAAGTGAAGCCAGCACCTCTACAACTCAAGCTACATCGACATCCACAGTTGCAGACAAAACAACCTCAACACTAGGAAGCACTGAGTTCTCCACTGTCAGTAGCTCTACCGCTGAAGTCACTTCAACAAGTACAGAATCTAGCACGACAAGTGAAACCAGCGCAACAACAAGCAGTACTGAAGCCAGCACAACAGCTACAGAAAGCACCACAGCTGTTCCAACAACTGTAAGCAGCACAAGTGAAGCCAGCACCTCTACAACTCAAGCTACATTGACATCCACAGTTGCAGACACAACAACCTCAACACTAGGCAGCACGGAGTCCTCCACTGTCAGTAGCTCTACGGCTGAAGTCACTTCAACAAGTACAGAACCTAGCACGACAAGTGAAACCAGCGCAACAACAAGCAGTACTGAAGCCAGCACAACAGCTACAGAAAGCACCACAGCTGTTCCAACAACTGTAAGCAGCACAAGTGAAGCCAGCACCTCTACAACTCAAGCAACATTGACATCCACAGTTGTAGACACAACAACCTCAACACTAGGCAGCACGGAGTCCTCCACTGTCAGTAGCTCTACCGCTGAAGTCACTTCACCAAGTACAGAACCTAGCACGACAAGTGAAACCAGCGCAACAACAAGCAGTACTGAAGCCAGCACAACAGCTACAGAAAGCACCACAGCTGTTCCAACAACTGTAAGCAGCACAAGTGAAGCCAGCACCTCTACAACTCAAGCTACATTGACATCCACAGTTGCAGACACAACAACCTCAACACTAGGCAGCACGGAGTCCTCCACTGTCAGTAGCTCTACCGCTGAAGTCACTTCAACAAGTACAGAACCTAGCATGACAAGTGAAACCAGCGCAACAAGTAGCAGTACTGAAGCCAGCACAACAGCTACAGAAAGCACCACAGCTGTTCCAACAACTGTAAGCAGCACAAGTGAAGCCAGCACCTCTACAACTCAAGCTACATTGACATCCACAGTTGCAGACACAACAACCTCAACACTAGGAAGCACGGAGTTCTCCACTGTCAGTAGCTCTACGGCTGAAGTCACTTCAACAAGTACAGAACCTAGCACGACAAGTGAAACCAGCGCAACAACAAGCAGTACTGAAGCCAGCACAACAGCTACAGAAAGCACCACAGCTGTTCCAACAACTGTAAGCAGCACAAGTGAAGCCAGCACCTCTACAACTCAAGCTACATTGACATCCACAGTTGCAGACACAACAACCTCAACACTAGGCAGCACGGAGTCCTCCACTGTCAGTAGCTCTACCGCTGAAGTCACTTCAACAAGTACAGAATCTAGCACGACAAGTGAAACCAGCGCAACAAGTAGCAGTACTGAAGCCAGAACAACAGCTACAGAAAGCACCACAGCTGTTCCAACAACTGTAAGCAGCACAAGTGAAGCCAGCACCTCTACAACTCAAGCTACATTGACATCCACAGTTGCAGACACAACAACCTCAACACTAGGCAGCACGGAGTCCTCCACTGTCAGTAGCTCTACCGCTGAAGTCACTTCAACAAGTACAGAACCTAGCATGACAAGTGAAACCAGCGCAACAACAAGCAGTACTGAAGCCAGCACAACAGCTACAGAAAGCACCACAGCTGTTCCAACAACTGTAAGCAGCACAAGTGAAGCCAGCACCTCTACAACTCAAGCTACATTGACATCCACAGTTGCAGACACAACAACCTCAACACTAGGCAGCACGGAGTCCTCCACTGTCAGTAGCTCTACCGCTGAAGTCACTTCAACAAGTACAGAATCTAGCACGACAAGTGAAACCAGCGCAACAACAAGCAGTACTGAAGCCAGCACAACAGCTATAGAAAGCAGCACAGCTGTTCCAATAACTGTAAGCAGCACAAGTGAAGCCAGCACCTCTACAACTCAAGCTACATTGACATCCACAGTTGCAGACACAACAACCTCAACACTAGGCAGCACGGAGTCCTCCACTGTCAGTAGCTCTACCGCTGAAGTCACTTCAACAAGTACAGAACCTAGCACGACAAGTGCAACCAGTGCAACAACAAGCAGTACTGAAGCCAGCACAACAGCTACAGAAAGCAGCACAGCTGTTCCAACAACTGTAAGCAGCACAAGTGAAGGCAGCACCTCTACAACTCAAGCTACATTGACATCCACAATTGCAGACACAACAACCTCAACACTAGGCAGCACGGAGTCCTCCACTGTCAGTAGCTCTACGGCTGAAGTCACTTCAACAAGTACAGAACCTAGCACGACAAGTGAAACCAGCGCAACAACAAGCAGTACTGAAGCCAGCATAACAGCTACAGAAAGCACCACAGCTGTTCCAACAACTGTAAGCAGCACAAGTGAAGCCAGCACCTCTACAACTCAAGCTACATTGACATCCACAGTTGCAGACACAACAACCTCAACACTAGGCAGCACGGAGTCCTCCAATGTCAGTAGCTCTACGGCTGAAATCACTTCAACAAGTACAGAATCTAGCACGACAAGTGAAACCAGCGCAACAACAAGCAGTACTGAAGCCAGCACAACAGCTACAGAAAGCACCACAGCTGTTCCAACAACTGTAAGCAGCACAAGTGAAGCCAGCACCTCTACAACTCAAGCTACATTGACATCCACAGTTGCAGACACAACAACCTCAACACTAGGCAGCACGGAGTCCTCCACTGTCAGTAGCTCTACCGCTGAAGTCACTTCAACAAGTACAGAAGCTAGCACGACAAGTGAAACCAGCGCAACAACAAGCAGTACTGAAGCCAGCACAACAGCTACAGAAAGCACCACAGCTGTTCCAATAACTGTAAGCAGCACAAGTGAAGCCAGCACCTCTACAACTCAAGCTACATTGACATCCACAGTTGCAGACACAACAACCTCAACACTAGGCAGCACGGAGTCCTCCACTGTCAGTAGCTCTACGGCTGAAGTCACTTCACCAAGTACAGAACCTAGCACGACAAGTGAAACCAGCGCAACAACAAGCAGTACTGAAGCCAGCACAACAGCTACAGAAAGCAGCACAGCTGTTCCAACAACTGTAAGCAACACAAGTGAAGCCAGCACCTCTACAACTCAAGCTACATTGACATCCACAGTTGCAGACACAACAACCTCAACACTAGGCAGCACGGAGTCCTCCACTGTCAGTAGCTCTACGGCTGAAGTCACTTCAACAAGTACAGAACCTAGCACGACAAGTGAAACCAGCGCAACAAGTAGCAGTACTGAAGCCAGCACAACAGCTACAGAAAGCACCACAGCTGTTCCAACAACTGTAAGCAGCACAAGTGAAGCCAGCACCTCTACAACTCAAGCTACATTGACATCCACAGTTGCAGACACAACAACCTCAACACTAGGCAGCACGGAGTCCTCCACTGTCAGTAGCTCTACGGCTGAAGTCACTTCAACAAGTACAGAAGCTAGCACGAAGAGTGAAACCAGCGCAACAACAAGCAGTACTGAAGCCAGCACAACAGCTACAGAAAGCACCACATCTGTTCCAACAACTGTAAGCAGCACAAGTGAAGCCAGCACCTCTACAACTCAAGCTACATTGACATCCACAGTTGCAGACACAACAACCTCAACACTAGGCAGCACGGAGTCCTCCACTGTCAGTAGCTCTACCGCTGAAGTCACTTCAACAAGTACAGAACCTAGCATGACAAGTGAAACCAGCGCAACAAGTAGCAGTACTAAAGCCAGCACAACAGCTACAGAAAGCAGCACAGCTGTTCCAACAACTGTAAGCAGCACAAGTGAAGCCAGCACCTCTACAACTCAAGCTACATCGACATCCACAGTTGCAGACAAAACAACCTCAACACTAGGAAGCACTGAGTTCTCCACTGTCAGTAGCTCTACCGCTGAAGTCACTTCAACAAGTACAGAATCTAGCACGACAAGTGAAACCAGCGCAACAACAAGCAGTACTGAAGCCAGCACAACAGCTACAGAAAGCACCACAGCTGTTCCAACAACTGTAAGCAGCACAAGTGAAGCCAGCACCTCTACAACTCAAGCTACATTGACATCCACAGTTGCAGACACAACAACCTCAACACTAGGCAGCACGGAGTCCTCCACTGTCAGTAGCTCTACGGCTGAAGTCACTTCAACAAGTACAGAACCTAGCACGACAAGTGAAACCAGCGCAACAACAAGCAGTACTGAAGCCAGCACAACAGCTACAGAAAGCACCACAGCTGTTCCAACAACTGTAAGCAGCACAAGTGAAGCCAGCACCTCTACAACTCAAGCAACATTGACATCCACAGTTGTAGACACAACAACCTCAACACTAGGCAGCACGGAGTCCTCCACTGTCAGTAGCTCTACCGCTGAAGTCACTTCACCAAGTACAGAACCTAGCACGACAAGTGAAACCAGCGCAACAACAAGCAGTACTGAAGCCAGCACAACAGCTACAGAAAGCACCACAGCTGTTCCAACAACTGTAAGCAGCACAAGTGAAGCCAGCACCTCTACAACTCAAGCTACATTGACATCCACAGTTGCAGACACAACAACCTCAACACTAGGCAGCACGGAGTCCTCCACTGTCAGTAGCTCTACCGCTGAAGTCACTTCAACAAGTACAGAACCTAGCATGACAAGTGAAACCAGCGCAACAAGTAGCAGTACTGAAGCCAGCACAACAGCTACAGAAAGCACCACAGCTGTTCCAACAACTGTAAGCAGCACAAGTGAAGCCAGCACCTCTACAACTCAAGCTACATTGACATCCACAGTTGCAGACACAACAACCTCAACACTAGGAAGCACGGAGTTCTCCACTGTCAGTAGCTCTACCGCTGAAGTCACTTCAACAAGTACAGAATCTAGCACGAAGAGTGAAACCAGCGCAACAACAAGCAGTACTGAAGCCAGCACAACAGCTACAGAAAGCACCACAGCTGTTCCAACAACTGTAAGCAGCACAAGTGAAGCCAGCACCTCTACAACTCAAGCTACATTGACATCCACAGTTGCAGACACAACAACCTCAACACTAGGCAGCACGGAGTCCTCCACTGTCAGTAGCTCTACCGCTGAAGTCACTTCAACAAGTACAGAATCTAGCACGACAAGTGAAACCAGCGCAACAAGTAGCAGTACTGAAGCCAGAACAACAGCTACAGAAAGCACCACAGCTGTTCCAACAACTGTAAGCAGCACAAGTGAAGCCAGCACCTCTACAACTCAAGCTACATTGACATCCACAGTTGCAGACACAACAACCTCAACACTAGGCAGCACGGAGTCCTCCACTGTCAGTAGCTCTACGGCTGAAGTCACTTCAACAAGTACAGAAGCTAACACGACAAGTGAAACCAGCGCAACAAGTAGCAGTACTGAAGCCAGCACAACAGCTACAGAAAGCACCACAGCTGTTCCAACAACTGTAAGCAGCACAAGTGAAGCCAGCACCTCTACAACTCAAGCTACATTGACATCCACAGTTGCAGACACAACAACCTCAACACTAGGCAGCACGGAGTCCTCCACTGTCAGTAGCTCTACCGCTGAAGTCACTTCAACAAGTACAGAACCTAGCACGACAAGTGAAACCAGCCCAACAACAAGCAGTACTGAAGCCAGCACAACAGCTACAGAAAGCACCACAGCTGTTCCAACAACTGTAAGCAGCACAAGTGAAGACATCACCTCTACAACTCAAGCTACATTGACATCCACAGTTGCAGACACAACAACCTCAACACTAGGCAGCACGGAGTCCTCCACTGTCAGTAGCTCTACCGCTGAAGTCACTTCAACAAGTACAGAACCTAGCACGACAAGTGAAACCAGCGCAACAGCAAGCAGTACTGAAGCCAGCACAACAGCTGCAGAAAGCACCACAGCTGTTCCAACAACTGTAAGCAGCACAAGTGAAGCCAGCACCTCTACAACTCAAGCTACATTGACATCCACAGTTGCAGACACAACAACCTCAACACTAGGCAGCACGGAGTCCTCCACTGTCAGTAGCTCTACCGCTGAAGTCACTTCAACAAGTACAGAACCTAGCATGACAAGTGAAACCAGCGCAACAAGTAGCAGTACTAAAGCCAGCACAACAGCTACAGAAAGCACCACAGCTGTTCCAACAACTGTAAGCAGCACAAGTGAAGCCAGCACCTCTACAACTCAAGCTACATTGACATCCACAGTTGCAGACACAACAACCTCAACACTAGGAAGCACGGAGTTCTCCACTGTCAGTAGCTCTACCGCTGAAGTCACTTCAACAAGTACAGAATCTAGCACGACAAGTGAAACCAGCGCAACAAGTAGCAGTACTGAAGCCAGAACAACAGCTACAGAAAGCACCACAGCTGTTCCAACAACTGTAAGCAGCACAAGTGAAGCCAGCACCTCTACAACTCAAGCTACATTGACATCCACAGTTGCAGACACAACAACCTCAACACTAGGCAGCACGGAGTCCTCCACTGTCAGTAGCTCTACGGCTGAAGTCACTTCACCAAGTACAGAACCTAGCACGACAAGTGAAACCAGCGCAACAAGTAGCAGTACTGAAGCCAGCACAACAGCTACAGAAAGCACCACAGCTGTTCCAACAACTGTAAGCAGCACAAGTGAAGCCAGCACCTCTACAACTCAAGCTACATTGACATCCACAGTTGCAGACACAACAACCTCAACACTAGGAAGCACGGAGTTCTCCACTGTCAGTAGCTCTACCGCTGAAGTCACTTCAACAAGTACAGAATCTAGCACGACAAGTGAAACCAGCGCAACAAGTAGCAGTACTGAAGCCAGCACAACAGCTACAGAAAGCACCACAGCTGTTCCAACAACTGTAAGCAGCACAAGTGAAGCCAGCACCTCTACAACTCAAGCTACATTGACATCCACAGTTGCAGACACAACAACCTCAACACTAGGCAGCACGGAGTCCTCCACTGTCAGTAGCTCTACGGCTGAAGTCACTTCAACAAGTACAGAAGCTAGCACGACAAGTGAAACCAGCGCAACAACAAGCAGTACTGAAGCCAGCACAACAGCTACAGAAAGCACCACAGCTGTTCCAACAACTGTAAGCAGCACAAGTGAAGCCAGCACCTCTACAACTCAAGCTACATTGACATCCACAGTTGCAGACACAACAACCTCAACACTAGGCAGCACGGAGTCCTCCACTGTCAGTAGCTCTACGGCTGAAGTCACTTCAACAAGTACAGAACCTAGCACGACAAGTGAAACCAGCGCAACAACAAGCAGTACTGAAGCCAGCACAACAGCTGCAGAAAGCACCACAGCTGTTCCAACAACTGTAAGCAGCACAAGTGAAGCCAGCACCTCTACAACTCAAGCTACATTGACATCCACAGTTGCAGACACAACAACCTCCACACTAGGCAGCACGGAGTCCTCCACTGTCAGTAGCTCTACGGCTGAAGTCACTTCAACAAGTACAGAACCTAGCACGACAAGTGAAACCAGCGCAACAAGTAGCAGTACTGAAGCCAGCACAACAGCTACAGAAAGCACCACAGCTGTTCCAACAACTGTAAGCAGCACAAGTGAAGCCAGCACCTCTACAACTCAAGCTACATTGACATCCACAGTTGCAGACACAACAACCTCAACACTAGGCAGCACGGAGTCCTCCACTGTCAGTAGCTCTACCGCTGAAGTCACTTCACCAAGTACAGAACCTAGCACGACAAGTGAAACCAGTGCAACAACAAGCAGTACTGAAGCCAGCACAACAGCTACAGAAAGCACCACAGCTGTTCCAACAACTGTAAGCAGCACAAGTGAAGCCAGCACCTCTACAACTCAAGCTACATTGACATCCACAGTTGCAGACACAACAACCTCAACACTAGGCAGCACGGAGTCCTCCACTGTCAGTAGCTCTACGGCTGAAGTCACTTCAACAAGTACAGAACCTAGCACGACAAGTGAAACCAGCGCAACAACAAGCAGTACTGAAGCCAGCACAACAGCTACAGAAAGCACCACAGCTGTTCCAACAACTGTAAGCAGCACAAGTGAAGCCAGCACCTCTACAACTCAAGCTACATTGACATCCACAGTTGCAGACACAACAACCTCAACACTAGGCAGCACGGAGTCCTCCACTGTCAGTAGCTCTACCGCTGAAGTCACTTCAACAAGTACAGAATCTAGCACGACAAGTGAAACCAGCGCAACAACAAGCAGTACTGAAGCCAGCACAACAGCTACAGAAAGCACCACAGCTGTTCCAACAACTGTAAGCAGCACAAGTGAAGCCAGCACCTCTACAACTCAAGCTACATTGACATCCACAGTTGCAGACACAACAACCTCAACACTAGGCAGCACGGAGTCCTCCACTGTCAGTAGCTATACGGCTGAAGTCACTTCAACAAGTACAGAACCTAGCACGACAAGTGAAACCAGCGCAACAACAAGCAGTACTGAAGCCAGCACAACAGCTACAGAAACCACCACAGCTGTTCCAACAACTGTAAGCAGCACAAGTGAAGCCAGCACCTCTACAACTCAAGCTACATTGACATCCACAGTTGCATACACAACAACCTCAACACTAGGCAGCACGGAGTCCTCCACTGTCAGTAGCTCTACGGCTGAAGTCACTTCACCAAGTACAGAACCTAGCAAGACAAGTGAAACCAGCGCAACAACAAGCAGTACTGAAGCCAGCACAACAGCTACAGAAAGCACCACAGCTGTTCCAACAACTGTAAGCAACACAAGTGAAGCCAGCACCTCTACAACTCAAGCTACATTGACATCCACAGTTGCAGACACAACAACCTCAACACTAGGAAGCACGGAGTTCTCCACTGTCAGTAGCTCTACCGCTGAAGTCACTTCAACAAGTACAGAATCTAGCACGACAAGTGAAACCAGCGCAACAAGTAGCAGTACTGAAGCCAGCACAACAGCTACAGAAAGCACCACAGCTGTTCCAACAACTGTAAGCAGCACAAGTGAAGCCAGCACCTCTACAACTCAAGCTACATTGACATCCACAGTTGCAGACACAAACACCTCAACACTAGGCAGCACGGAGTCCTCCACTGTCAGTAGCTCTACCGCTGAAGTCACTTCAACAAGTACAGAACCTAGCACGACAAGTGAAACCAGCGCAACAAGTAGCAGTACTGAAGCCAGCACAACAGCTACAGAAAGCACCACAGCTGTTCCAACAACTGTAAGCAGCACAAGTGAAGCCAGCACCTCTACAACTCAAGCTACATTGACATCCACAGTTGCAGACACAACAACCTCAACACTAGGCAGCACGGAGTCCTCCACTGTCAGTAGCTCTACGGCTGAAGTCACTTCAACAAGTACAGAAGCTAGCACGACAAGTGAAACCAGCGCAACAACAAGCAGTACTGAAGCCAGCACAACAGCTACAGAAAGCACCACAGCTGTTCCAACAACTGTAAGCAGCACAAGTGAAGCCAGCACCTCTACAACTCAAGCTACATTGACATCCACAGTTGCAGACACAACAACCTCAACACTAGGCAGCACGGAGTCCTCCACTGTCAGTAGCTCTACGGCTGAAATCACTTCAACAAGTACAGAACCTAGCACGACAAGTGAAACCAGCGCAACAACAAGCAGTACTGAAGCCAGAACAACAGCTACAGAAAGCAGCACAGCTGTTCCAACGACTATAAGCAGCACAAGTGAAGCCTGCACCTCTACAACTCAAGCTACATTGACATCCACAGTTGCAGACAGAACAACCTCAACACTAGGCAGCACGGAGTCCTCCACTGTCAGTAGCTCTACGGCTGAAGTCACTTCACCAAGTACAGAACCTAGCACGACAAGTGAAACCAGTGCAACAACAAGCAGTACTGAAGCCAGCACAACAGCTACAGAAAGCACCACAGCTGTTCCAACAACTGTAAGCAGCACAAGTGAAGCCAGCACCTCTACAACTCAAGCTACATTGACATCCACAGTTGCAGACACAACAACCTCAACACTAGGCAGCACGGAGTCCTCCACTGTCAGTAGCTCTACCGCTGAAGTCACTTCAACAAGTACAGAACCTAGCACGACAAGTGAAACCAGCGCAACAACAAGCAGTACTGAAGCCAGCACAACAGCTACAGAAAGCACCACAGCTGTTCCAATAACTGTAAGCAGCAGAAGTGAAGCCAGCACCTCTACAACTCAAGCTACATTGACATCCACAGTTGCATACACAACAACCTCAACACTAGGCAGCACGGAGTCCTCCACTGTCAGTAGCTCTACGGCTGAAGTCACTTCACCAAGTACAGAACCTAGCAAGACAAGTGAAACCAGCGCAACAACAAGCAGTACTGAAGCCAGCACAACAGCTACAGAAAGCACCACAGCTGTTCCAACAACTGTAAGCAACACAAGTGAAGCCAGCACCTCTACAACTCAAGCTACATTGACATCCACAGTTGCAGACACAACAACCTCAACACTAGGCAGCACGGAGTCCTCCACTGTCAGTAGCTCTACGGCTGAAGTCACTTCAACAAGTACAGAATCTAGCACGACAAGTGAAACCAGCGCAACAACAAGCAGTACTGAAGCCAGCACAACAGCTACAGAAAGCACCACAGCTGTTCCAACAACTGTAAGCAGCACAAGTGAAGCCAGCACCTCTACAACTCAAGCTACATTGACATCCACAGTTGCAGACACAACAACCTCAACACTAGGCAGCACGGAGTCCTCCACTGTCAGTAGCTCTACGGCTGAAATCACTTCAACAAGTACAGAACCTAGCACGACAAGTGAAACCAGCGCAACAACAAGCAGTACTGAAGCCAGCACAACAGCTACAGAAAGCACCAAAGCTGTTCCAACGACTGTAAGCAGCACAAGTGAAGCCAGCACCTCTACAACTCAAGCTACATTGACATCCACAGTTGCAGACACAACAACCTCAACACTAGGCAGCACGGAGTCCTCCACTGTCAGTAGCTCTACGGCTGAAGTCACTTCAACGAGTACAGAATCTAGCACGACAAGTGAAACCAGCGCAACAACAAGCAGTACTGAAGCCAGCACAACAGCTACAGAAAGCACCACAGCTGTTCCAACAACTGTAAGCAGCACAAGTGAAGCCAGCACCTCTACAACTCAAGCTACATTGACATCCACAGTTGCAGACACAACAACCTCAACACTAGGCAGCACGGAGTCCTCCACTGTCAGTAGCTCTACGGCTGAAATCACTTCAACAAGTACAGAACCTAGCACGACAAGTGAAACCAGCGCAACAAGTAGCAGTACTGAAGCCAGCACAACAGCTACAGAAAGCACCAAAGCTGTTCCAACGACTGTAAGCAGCAGAAGTGAAGCCAGCACCTCTACAACTCAAGCTACATTGACATCCACAGTTGCAGACACAACAACCTCAACACTAGGCAGCACGGAGTCCTCCACTGTCAGTAGCTCTACGGCTGAAGTCACTTCAACAAGTACAGAACCTAGCACGACAAGTGAAACCAGCGCAACAACAAGCAGTACTGAAGCCAGCACAACAGCTACAGAAAGCACCACAGCTGTTCCAACAACTGTAAGCAGCACAAGTGAAGCCAGCACCTCTACAACTCAAGCTACATTGACATCCACAGTTGCAGACACAACAACCTCAACACTAGGCAGCACGGAGTCCTCCACTGTCAGTAGCTCTACGGCTGAAATCACTTCAACAAGTACAGAACCTAGCACGACAAGTGAAACCAGCGCAACAACAAGCAGTACTGAAGCCAGCACAACAGCTACAGAAAGCACCAAAGCTGTTCCAACGACTGTAAGCAGCACAAGTGAAGCCAGCACCTCTACAACTCAAGCTACATTGACATCCACAGTTGCAGACACAACAACCTCAACACTAGGCAGCACGGAGTCCTCCACTGTCAGTAGCTCTACGGCTGAAGTCACTTCAACAAGTACAGAACCTAGCACGACAAGTGAAACCAGCGCAACAACAAGCAGTACTGAAGCCAGCACAACAGCTACAGAAAGCACCACAGCTGTTCCAACAACTGTAAGCAGCACAAGTGAAGCCAGCACCTCTACAACTCAAGCTACATTGACATCCACAGTTGTAGACACAACAACCTCAACACTAGGCAGCACGGAGTACTCCACTGTCACTAGCTCTACCGCTGAAGTCACTTCAACAAGTACAGAACCTAGCACGACAAGTGAAACCAGCGCAACAACAAGCAGTACTGAAGCCAGCACAACAGCTACAGAAAGCACCACAGCTGTTCCAATAACTGTAAGCAGCACAAGTGAAGCCAGCACCTCTACAACTCAAGCTACATTGACATCCACAGTTGCAGACACAACAACCTCAACACTAGGCAGCACGGAGTCCTCCACTGTCAGTAGCTCTACGGCTGAAGTCACTTCACCAAGTACAGAACCTAGCAAGACAAGTGAAACCAGCGCAACAACAAGCAGTACTGAAGCCAGCACAACAGCTATAGAAAGCACCACAGCTGCTCCAACAAGTCTAGACAGCACAATAATCGATGTCAACACTTTTTCTACTAAATCTGTTTATACCTCTACAGTTTTGAACATTTTAACCACAACTGGAGATGGCAAGTATTGTTTAAGAATAATTCATTGTACAGGGTATATCTTCTGAAGAACACTAATGTTTTTTATTAGCTTCCTGTGTAGCACGGGGAACTGTGTAGCATACATCCATATACTCAATTTATTTGTTGAATTTTCTTAAGCGTATTATTACAATATGCAATAGTATGAGTCTGTTAAGTAAGTCACGTTAACTATTTTTATTTATCTGTAATACTTTTCTGCATATCAGATAACAATGACATTCACCATCTTTCTGGCTTTTAAAGGAAAGAAGCTTTAACGTACTTATAGTAGTTCTTATATTTAAGCGCCTTTCGCACTGCACTTAATCCACTAGTTTAAATAACATGATAATATATAATTAAAACTGATAGCTGCTGCTTTTGAAACTCGGGTGAGTTATGTCATGATTGAGTGATCAATTGAAACACATGATTTGTCTGAATATTGATTTCACTAATATATGTACGTTCACAATATTTTCGTTTCACTAATAATAGTAGAGTAAGCTTGTATCTAGTTATTCTGGGCGGGTTTTCAAGATCTCCCAAATGTATGCTTTTAAACAGTTAATCGATACCGATTCACTTCTGAATTATTTCAAATTGACAATTCTTTACAACAGGAACGACATCGACAGATTTAGGAGCAACAAGTAGTTCTTCTAGCACTGAAGCTGCAAAAACAACCTCAGTTGATATTTCATCTAGTGCAACAACAAAGCTTTCAACCGAGCCCATTTCTCCAACCATAGTTTCAAATTCTACATCTAATCTTGAAGGTAAGTTTTCTCTTCCATAAAGGTGGACAGAAATAAAATTAGTAGGACAGAATTCTATGCAATTTGTCAGAAAAGTCAGGGAAAATCTAAAAAGCTTTATTTTCAAAAATTCTAAAATCGTTGATTATAAGCAAACAAAGAAGGTCAAAACAGAAGGAAAAGTATAAAGTACTAATACAAAAACGGAGACACAAACACTTACATATTCAAAATATAAAGAAGAGTAATTCCTATAAGAAAAAAACGAAAAATCTTCGGACAACGCTAATCATCAAACGTGAAATAAAAACCGCTACAAATGAAGCAAGATACATCCCAATTTACAGACACAACATCCTCAACACAAGGCAGCACGGAGTCTTCCACTGTCACTAGCTCTACGGCTGAAGTCACTTCAACAAGTACAGAACCTACCACGACAAGTGAAACCAGCGCAACAACAAGCAGTACTGAAGCCAGCACAACAGCTACAGAAAGCACCACAGCTCTTCCAACAACTGTAAGCAGCACAAGTGAAGCCAGCACCTCTACAACTCAAGCTACATTGACATCCACAGTTGCAGACACAACAACCTCAACACTAGGCAGCACGGAGTCCTCCACTGTCAGTAGCTATACGGCTGAAGTCACTTCAACAAGTACAGAACCTACCACGACAAGTGAAACCAGCGCAACAACAAGCAGTACTGAAGCCAGCACAACAGCTACAGAAAGCACCACAGCTCTTCCAACAACTGTAAGCAGCACAAGTGAAGCCAGCACCTCTACAACTCAAGCTACATTGACATCCACAGTTGCAGACACAACAACCTCAACACTAGGCAGCACGGAGTCCTCCACTGTCAGTAGCTATACGGCTGAAGTCACTTCAACAAGTACAAAACCTAGCACGACAAGTGAAACCAGCGCAACAACAAGCAGTACTGAAGCCAGCACAACAGCTACAGAAAGCACCACAGCTCTTCCAACAACTGTAAGCAGCACAAGTGAAGCCAGCACCTCTACAACTCAAGCTACATTGACATCCACAGTTGCAGACACAACAACCTCAACACTAGGCAGCACGGAGTCCTCCACTGTCAGTAGCTCTACGGCTGAAGTCACTTCAACAAGTACAGAAGCTAGCACGACAAGTGAAACCAGCGCAACAACAAGCAGTACTGAAGCCAGCACAACAGCTACAGAAAGCACCACAGCTGTTCCAACAACTGTAAGCAGCACAAGTGAAGCCAGCACCTCTACAACTCAAGCTACATTGACATCCACAGTTGCAGACACAACAACCTCAACACTAGGAAGCACGGAGTCCTCCACTGTCAGTAGCTCTACGGCTGAAGTCACTTCAACAAGTACAGAAGCTAGCACGACAAGTGAAACCAGCGCAACAACAAGCAGTACTGAAGCCAGCACAACAGCTACAGAAAGCACCACAGCTGTTCCAACAACTGTAAGCAGCACAAGTGAAGCCAGCACCTCTACAACTCAAGCTACATTGACATCCACAGTTGCAGACACAACAACCTCAACACTAGGCAGCACGGAGTCCTCCACTGTCAGTAGCTCTACGGCTGAAGTCACTTCAACAAGTACAGAAGCTAGCACGACAAGTGAAACCAGCGCAACAACAAGCAGTACTGAAGCCAGCACAACAGCTACAGAAAGCACCACAGCTGTTCCAACAACTGTAAGCAGCACAAGTGAAGACATCACCTCTACAACTCAAGCTACATTGACATCCACAGTTGCAGACACAACAACCTCAACACTAGGCACCACGGAGTCCTCCACTGCCAGTAGCTCTACCGCTGAAGTCACTTCAACAAGTACAGAACCTAGCACGACAAGTGAAACCAGCGCAACAACAAGCAGTACTGAAGCCAGCACAACAGCTACAGAAAGCACCACAGCTGTTCCAACAACTGTAAGCAGCACAAGTGAAGCCAGCACCTCTACAACTCAAGCTACATTGACATCCACAGTTGCAGACACAACAACCTCAACACTAGGCAGGACGGAGTCCACTGTCAGTAGCTCTACGGCTGAAGTCACTTCAACAAGTACAGAACCTAGCACAAGTGAAACCAGCGCAACAACAAGCAGTACTGAAGCCAGCACAACAGCTACAGAAAGCACCACAGCTGTTCCAACAACTGTAAGCAGCACAAGTGAAGACATCACCTCTACAACTCAAGCTACATTGACATCCACAGTTGCAGACACAACAACCTCAACACTAGGCAGCACGGAGTCCTCCACTGTCAGTAGCTCTACGGCTGAAGTCACTTCAACAAGTACAGAACCTAGCACAAGTGAAACCAGCGCAACAACAAGCAGTACTGAAGCCAGCACAACAGCTACAGAAAGCACCACAGCTGTTCCAACAACTGTAAGCAGCACAAGTGAAGACATCACCTCTACAACTCAAGCTACATTGACATCCACAGTTGCAGACACAACAACCTCAACACTAGGCAGCACGGAGTCCTCCACTGTCAGTAGCTCTACCGCTGAAGTCACTTCAACAAGTACAGAACCTAGCACGACAAGTGAAACCAGCGCAACAACAAGCAGTACTGAAGCCAGCACAACAGCTACAGAAAGCACCACAGCTGTTCCAACAACTGTAAGCAGCACAAGTGAAGCCAGCACCTCTACAACTCAAGCTACATTGACATCCACAGTTGCAGACACAACAACCTCAACACTAGGCAGCACGGAGTCCTCCACTGTCACTAGCCCTACGGCTGAAGTCACTTCAACAAGTACAGAAGCTAGCACGACAAGTGAAAACAGCGCAACAACAAGCAGTACTGAAGCCAGCACAACAGCTACAGAAAGCACCACAGCTCTTCCAACAACTGTAAGCAGCACAAGTGAAGCCAGCACCTCTACAACTCAAGCTACATTGACATCCACAGTTGCAGACACAACAACCTCAACACTAGGCAGCACGGAGTCCTCCACTGTCAGTAGCTCTACGGCTGAAGTCACTTCAACAAGTACAGAACCTAGCACGACAAGTGAAACCAGCGCAACAACAAGCAGTACTGAAGCCAGCACAACAGCTACAGAAAGCACCACAGCTGTTCCAACAACTGTAAGCAGCACAAGTGAAGACATCACCTCTACAACTCAAGCTACATTGACATCCACAGTTGCAGACACAACAACCTCAACACTAGGCAGCACGGAGTCCTCCACTGTCAGTAGCTCTACGGCTGAAGTCACTTCAACAAGTACAGAACCTAGCACGACAAGTGAAACCAGCGCAACAACAAGCAGTACTGAAGCCAGCACAACAGCTACAGAAAGCACCACAGCTCTTCCAACAACTGTAAGCAGCACAAGTGAAGCCAGCACCTCTACAACTCAAGCTACATTGACATCCACAGTTGCAGACACAACAACCTCAACACTAGGCAGCACGGAGTCCTCCACTGTCAGTAGCTCTACGGCTGAAATCACTTCAACAAGTACAGAACCTAGCACGACAAGTGAAACCAGCGCAACAAGTAGCAGTACTGAAGCCAGCACAACAGCTACAGAAAGCACCACAGCTGTTCCAACAACTGTAAGCAGCACAAGTGAAGCCAGCACCTCTACAACTCAAGCTACATTGACATCCACAGTTGCAGACACAACAACCTCAACACTAGGCAGCACGGAGTCCTCCACTGTCAGTAGCTCTACCGCTGAAGTCACTTCAACAAGTACAGAACCTAGCACGACAAGTGAAACCAGCGCAACAACAAGCAGTACTGAAGCCAGCAACACAGCTACAGAAAGCACCACAGCTGTTCCAACAACTGTAAGCAGCACAAGTGAAGCCAGCACCTCTACAACTCAAGCTACATTGACATCCACAGTTGCAGACACAACAACCTCAACACTAGGCAGGACGGAGTCCACTGTCAGTAGCTCTACGGCTGAAGTCACTTCAACAAGTACAGAACCTAGCACAAGTGAAACCAGCGCAACAACAAGCAGTACTGAAGCCAGCACAACAGCTACAGAAAGCACCACAGCTGTTCCAACAACTGTAAGCAGCACAAGTGAAGACATCACCTCTACAACTCAAGCTACATTGACATCCACAGTTGCAGACACAACAACCTCAACACTAGGCAGCACGGAGTCCTCCACTGTCAGTAGCTCTACGGCTGAAGTCACTTCAACAAGTACAGAACCTAGCACAAGTGAAACCAGCGCAACAACAAGCAGTACTGAAGCCAGCACAACAGCTACAGAAAGCACCACAGCTCTTCCAACAACTGTAAGCAGCACAAGTGAAGACATCACCTCTACAACTCAAGCTACATTGACATCCACAGTTGCAGACACAACAACCTCAACACTAGGCAGCACGGAGTCCTCCACTGTCAGTAGCTCTACCGCTGAAGTCACTTCAACAAGTACAGAACCTAGCACGACAAGTGAAACCAGCGCAACAACAAGCAGTACTGAAGCCAGCACAACAGCTACAGAAAGCACCACAGCTGTTCCAACAACTGTAAGCAGCACAAGTGAAGCCAGCACCTCTACAACTCAAGCTACATTGACATCCACAGTTGCAGACACAACAACCTCAACACTAGGCAGCACGGAGTCCTCCACTGTCACTAGCCCTACGGCTGAAGTCACTTCAACAAGTACAGAAGCTAGCACGACAAGTGAAAACAGCGCAACAACAAGCAGTACTGAAGCCAGCACAACAGCTACAGAAAGCACCACAGCTCTTCCAACAACTGTAAGCAGCACAAGTGAAGCCAGCACCTCTACAACTCAAGCTACATTGACATCCACAGTTGCAGACACAACAACCTCAACACTAGGCAGCACGGAGTCCTCCACTGTCAGTAGCTCTACGGCTGAAGTCACTTCAACAAGTACAGAACCTAGCACGACAAGTGAAACCAGCGCAACAACAAGCAGTACTGAAGCCAGCACAACAGCTACAGAAAGCACCACAGCTGTTCCAACAACTGTAAGCAGCACAAGTGAAGACATCACCTCTACAACTCAAGCTACATTGACATCCACAGTTGCAGACACAACAACCTCAACACTAGGCAGCACGGAGTCCTCCACTGTCAGTAGCTCTACGGCTGAAGTCACTTCAACAAGTACAGAACCTAGCACGACAAGTGAAACCAGCGCAACAACAAGCAGTACTGAAGCCAGCACAACAGCTACAGAAAGCACCACAGCTCTTCCAACAACTGTAAGCAGCACAAGTGAAGCCAGCACCTCTACAACTCAAGCTACATTGACATCCACAGTTGCAGACACAACAACCTCAACACTAGGCAGCACGGAGTCCTCCACTGTCAGTAGCTCTACGGCTGAAATCACTTCAACAAGTACAGAACCTAGCACGACAAGTGAAACCAGCGCAACAAGTAGCAGTACTGAAGCCAGCACAACAGCTACAGAAAGCACCACAGCTGTTCCAACAACTGTAAGCAGCACAAGTGAAGCCAGCACCTCTACAACTCAAGCTACATTGACATCCACAGTTGCAGACACAACAACCTCAACACTAGGCAGCACGGAGTCCTCCACTGTCAGTAGCTCTACGGCTGAAGTCACTTCAACAAGTACAGAACCTAGCACGACAAGTGAAACCAGCGCAACAACAAGCAGTACTGAAGCCAGCAACACAGCTACAGAAAGCACCACAGCTCTTCCAACAACTGTAAGCAGCACAAGTGAAGCCAGCACCTCTACAACTCAAGCTACATTGACATCCACAGTTGCAGACACAACAACCTCAACACTAGGCAGCACGGAGTCCTCCACTGTCAGTAGCTCTACGGCTGAAGTCACTTCAACAAGTACAGAACCTACCACGACAAGTGAAACCAGTGCAACAACAAGCAGTACTGAAGCCAGCACAACAGCTACAGAAAGCACCACAGCTCTTCCAATAACTGTAAGCAGCACAAGTGAAGCCAGCACCTCTACAACTCAAGCTACATTGACATCCACAGTTGCAGACACAACAACCTCAACACTAGGCAGCACGGAGTCCTCCACTGTCAGTAGCTCTACGGCTGAAGTCACTTCACCAAGTACAGAACCTAGCACGACAAGTGAAACCAGCGCAACAACAAGCAGTACTGAAGCCAGCACAACAGCTACAGAAACCACCACAGCTGTTCCAACAACTGTAAGCAGCACAAGTGAAGCCAGCACCTCTACAACTCAAGCTACATTGACATCCACAGTTGCAGACACAACAACCTCAACACTAGGCAGCACGGAGTCCTCCACTGTCAGTAGCTCTACCGATGAAGTCACTTCAAAAAGTACAGAATCTAGCACGACAAGTGAAACCAGCGCAACAACAAGCAGTACTGAAGGCAGCACAACAGCTACAGAAAGCACCACAGCTGTTCCAACAACTGTAAGCAGCACAAGTGAAGCCAGCACCTCTACAACTCAAGCTACATTGACATCCACAGTTGCAGACACAACAACCTCAACACTAGGCAGCACGGAGTCCTCCACTGTCAGTATCTCTACGGCTGAAGTCACTTCAACAAGTACAGAACCTAGCACGACAAGTGAAACCAGCGCAACAACAAGCAGTACTGAAGCCAACACAACAGCTACAGAAAGCACCACAGCTGTTCCAACAACTGTAAGCAGCACAAGTGAAGCCAGCACCTCTACAACACAAGCTACATTGACATCCACAGTTGCAGACACAACAACCTCAACACTAGGCAGCACGAAGTCCTCCACTGTCAGTAGCTCTACGGCTGAAGTCACTTCAACAAGTACAGAACCTAGCACGACAAGTGAAACCAGCGCAACAACAAGCAGTACTGAAGCCAGCACAACAGCTACAGAAAGCACCACAGCTGTTCCAACAACTGTAAGCAGCACAAGTGAAGCCAGCTCCTCTACAACTCAAGCTACATTGACATCCACAGTTGCAGACACAACAACCTCAACACTAGGCAGCACGGAGTCCTCCACTGTCAGTAGCTCTACGGCTGAAGTCACTTCAACAAGTACAGAACCTAGCACGACAAGTGAAACCAGCGCAACAACAAGCAGTACTGAAGCCAGCACAACAGCTACAGAAAGCACCACAGCTGTTCCAACAACTGTAAGCAGCACAAGTGAAGCCAGCTCCTCTACAACTCAAGCTACATTGACATCCACAGTTGCAGACACAACAACCTCAACACTAGGCAGCACGGAGTCCTCCACTGTCAGCAGCTCTACCGCTGAAGTCACTTCAACAAGTACAGAACCTAGCACGACAAGTGAAACCAGCGCAACAACAAGCAGTACTGAAGCCAGCACAACAGCTACAGAAAGCACCACAGCTGTTCCAACAACTGTAAGCAGCACAAGTGAAGGCAGCACCTCTACAACTCAAGCTACATTGACATCCACAGTTGCAGACACAACAATCTCAACACTAGGCAGCACGGAGTCCTCCACTGTCAGTAGCTCTACGGCTGAAGTCACTTCAACAAGTACAGAACCTAGCACGACAAGTGAAACCAGCGCAACAACAAGCAGTACTGAAGCCAGCACAACAGCTACAGAAAGCACCACAGCTCTTCCAACAACTGTAAGCAGCACAAGTGAAGCCAGCACCTCTACAACACAAGCTACATTGACATCCACAGTTGCAGACACAACAACCTCAACACTAGGCAGCACGGAGTCCTCCACTGTCAGTAGCTCTACCGCTGAAGTCACTTCAACAAGTACAGAACCTAGCACGACAAGTGAAACCAGCGCAACAACAAGCAGTACTGAAGCCAGCACAACAGCTACAGAAAGCACCACAGCTCTTCCAACAACTGTAAGCAGCACAAGTGAAGCCAGCACCTCTACAACTCAAGCTACATTGACATCCACAGTTGCAGACACAACAACCTCAACACTAGGCAGCACGGAGTCCTCCACTGTCAGTAGCTCTACCGCTGAAGTCACTTCAACAAGTACAGAACCTAGCACGACAAGTGAAACCAGCGCAACAACAAGCAGTACTGAAGCCAGCACAACAGCTACAGAAAACACCACAGCTGCTCCAACAAGTCTAGACAGCACAATAATCGATGTCAACACTTTTTCTACTAAATCTGTTTATACCTCTACAGTTTTGAACATTTTAACCACAACTGGAGATGGCAAGTATTATTTAAGAATAATTCATTGTACAGGGTATATCTTCTGAAGAACACTAATGTTTTTTACTAGCTTCCTGTGTAGCACGGGGAACTGTGTAGCATACATCCATATACTCATTTTATTTGTTGAATTTTCTTAAGCGTATTATTATTACAATATGCGATAGTATGAGTCTGTTAAGTAAGTCACGTTAACTATTTTTATTTATCTGTAATACTTTTCTGCATATTAGATAACAATGACATTCACCATCTTTCTGGCTTTTAAAGGAAAGAAGCTTTAACGTACTTATAGTAGTTGTTATATTTAAGCGCCTTTCGAACTGCACTTAATCCACTAGTTTAAATAACATGATAATATATAATTAAAACTGATAGCTGCTGCTTTTGAAACTCGGGTGAGTTATGTCATGATTGAGTGATCAATTGAAACACATGATTTGTCTGAATATTGATTTCACTAATATATGTACGTTCACAATATTTTCGTTTCACTAATAATAGTAGAGTAAGCTTGTATCTAGTTATTCTGGGCGGGTTTTCAAGATTATATAAAAAAATTCTAGTTTCCACATTACACATGTATTTCATTATTCAAGTGGATGTATCAAATGTAAAATCATAATGCCTCTTTGAATATGCTGAAAGTCCTCAACTTTTCTTATAACAAGTAAATAACTGAGCGTAGCCTTCGACAAAAATAAATCAATGAAAAATACATTCTGTACTTCTCCCAAATGTATGCTTTTAAACAGTTAATCGATACCGATTCACTTCTGAAATATTTCAAATTGACAATTCTTTACAACAGGAACGACATCGACAGATTTAGGAGCAACAAGTAGTTCTTCTAGCACTGAAGCTGCAAAAACAACAACCTCAGTTGATATTTCATCCAGTGCAACAACAAAGCTTTCAACCGAGCCCATTTCTCCAACCATAGTTTCAAATTCTACATCTAATCTTGAAGGTAAGTTTTCTCTTCCATAAAGTTGGACAGAAATAAAATTAGTAGGACAGAATTCTATGCAATTTGTCAGAAAAGTCAGGGAAAATCTAAAAAGCTTTATTTTCAAAAATTCTAAAATCGTTGATTATAAGCAAACAAAGAAGGTCAAACAGAAGAAAAAGTATAAAGTACTAATACAAAAACGGAGACACAAACACTTACATATTCAAAATATAAAGAGGAGTAATTCCTATGAGAAAAAAACGAAAAATCTTCGGACAACGCTAATCATCAAACGTGAAATAAAAACCGCTACAAATGAAGCAAGATACATCCCAATTTACAGACACAACAACCTCAACACTAGGCAGCACGGAGTCCTCCACTGTCAGTAGCTCTACGGCTGAAGTCACTTCAACAAGTACAGAACCTACCACGACAAGTGAAACCAGCGCAACAAGTAGCAGTACTGAAGCCAGCACAACAGCTACAGAAAGCACCACAGCTGTTCCAACAACTGTAAGCAGCACAAGTGAAGCCAGCACCTCTACAACTCAAGCTACACTAACATCCACAGTTGCAGACACAACAACCTCAACACTAGGCAGCACGGAGTCCTCCACTGTCACTAGCTCTACCGCTGAAGTCACTTCAACAAGTACAGAACCTAGCACGACAAGTGAAACCAGCGCAACAACAAGCAGTACTGAAGCCAGCACAACAGCTACAGAAAGCACCACAGCTGTTCCAACAACTGTAAGCAGCACAAGTGAAGCCAGCACCTCTACAACTCAAGCTACATTGACATCCACAGTTGCAGACACAACCTCAACACTAGGCAGCACGGAGTCCTCCACTGTGAGTAGCTCTACCGCTGAAGTCATTTCAACAAGTACAAAACCTAGCACGACAAGTGAAACCAGCGCAACAACAAGCAGTACTGAAGCCAGCACAACAGCTACAGAAAGCACCACAGCTGTTCCAACAACTGTAAGAAGCTCAAGTAAAGCCAGCTCCTCTACAACTCAAGCTACATTGACATCCACAGTTACAGACACAACAACCTCAACACTAGGCAGCACGGAGTCCTCCACTGTCAGTAGCTCTACGGCTGAAGTCACTTCAACAAGTACAGAACCTAGCACGACAAGTGAAACCAGCGCAACAACAAGCAGTACTGAAGCCAGCACAACAGCTACAGAAAGCACCACAGCTGTTCCAACAACTGTAAGCAGCACAAGTGAAGCCAGCTCCTCTACAACTCAAGCTACATTGACATCCACAGTTGCAGACACAACAACCTCAACACTAGGAAGCACGGAGTCCTCCACTGTCAGTAGCTCTACGGCTGAAGTCACTTCAACAAGTACAGAACCTAGCACGACAAGTGAAAACAGCGCAACAACAAGCAGTACTGAAGCCAGCACAACAGCTACAGAAAGCACCACAGCTGTTCCAACAACTGTAAGCAGCACAAGTGAAGCCAGCACCTCTACAACTCAAGCTACATTGACATCCACAGTTGCAGACACAACAACCTCAACACTAGGCAGCACGGAGTCCTCCACTGTCAGTAGCTCTACGGCTGAAGTCACTTCAACAAGTACAGAACCTAGCACGACAAGTGAAACCAGCGCAACAAGTAGCAGTACTGAAGCCAGCACAACAGCTACAGAAAGCACCACAGCTGTTCCAACAACTGTAAGCAGCACAAGTGAAGCCAGCACCTCTACAACTCAAGCTACACTAACATCCACAGTTGCAGACACAACAACCTCAACACTAGGCAGCACGGAGTCCTCCACTGTCACTAGCTCTACCGCTGAAGTCACTTCAACAAGTACAGAACCTAGCACGACAAGTGAAACCAGCGCAACAACAAGCAGTACTGAAGCCAGCACAACAGCTACAGAAAGCACCACAGCTGTTCCAACAACTGTAAGCAGCACAAGTGAAGCCAGCACCTCTACAACTCAAGCTACATTGACATCCACAGTTGCAGACACAACCTCAACACTAGGCAGCACGGAGTCCTCCACTGTGAGTAGCTCTACCGCTGAAGTCATTTCAACAAGTACAAAACCTAGCACGACAAGTGAAACCAGCGCAACAACAAGCAGTACTGAAGCCAGCACAACAGCTACAGAAAGCACCACAGCTGTTCCAACAACTGTAAGAAGCTCAAGTAAAGCCAGCTCCTCTACAACTCAAGCTACATTGACATCCACAGTTACAGACACAACAACCTCAACACTAGGCAGCACGGAGTCCTCCACTGTCAGTAGCTCTACGGCTGAAGTCACTTCAACAAGTACAGAACCTAGCACGACAAGTGAAACCAGCGCAACAACAAGCAGTACTGAAGCCAGCACAACAGCTACAGAAAGCACCACAGCTGTTCCAACAACTGTAAGCAGCACAAGTGAAGCCAGCTCCTCTACAACTCAAGCTACATTGACATCCACAGTTGCAGACACAACAACCTCAACACTAGGAAGCACGGAGTCCTCCACTGTCAGTAGCTCTACGGCTGAAGTCACTTCAACAAGTACAGAACCTAGCACGACAAGTGAAAACAGCGCAACAACAAGCAGTACTGAAGCCAGCACAACAGCTACAGAAAGCACCACAGCTGTTCCAACAACTGTAAGCAGCACAAGTGAAGCCAGCACCTCTACAACTCAAGCTACATTGACATCCACAGTTGCAGACACAACAACCTCAACACTAGGCAGCACGGAGTCCTCCACTGTCAGTAGCTCTACGGCTGAAGTCACTTCAACAAGTACAGAACCTAGCACGACAAGTGAAACCAGCGCAACAAGTAGCAGTACTGAAGCCAGCACAACAGCTACAGAAAGCACCACAGCTGTTCCAACAACTGTAAGCAGCACAAGTGAAGCCAGCACCTCTACAACTCAAGCTACATTGACATCCACAGTTGCAGACACAACAACCTCAACACTAGGCAGCACGGAGTCCTCCACTGTCACTAGCTCTACCGCTGAAGTCACTTCAACAAGTACAGAACCTAGCACGACAAGTGAAACCAGCGCAACAACAAGCAGTACTGAAGCCAGCACAACAGCTACAGAAAGCACCACAGCTGTTCCAACAACTGTAAGCAGCACAAGTGAAGCCAGCACCTCTACAACTCAAGCTACATTGACATCCACAGTTGCAGACACAACCTCAACACTAGGCAGCACGGAGTCCTCCACTGTGAGTAGCTCTACCGCTGAAGTCATTTCAACAAGTACAAAACCTAGCACGACAAGTGAAACCAGCGCAACAACAAGCAGTACTGAAGCCAGCACAACAGCTACAGAAAGCACCACAGCTGTTCCAACAACTGTAAGAAGCTCAAGTAAAGCCAGCTCCTCTACAACTCAAGCTACATTGACATCCACAGTTACAGACACAACAACCTCAACACTAGGCAGCACGGAGTCCTCCACTGTCAGTAGCTCTACGGCTGAAGTCACTTCAACAAGTACAGAACCTAGCACGACAAGTGAAACCAGCGCAACAACAAGCAGTACTGAAGCCAGCACAACAGCTACAGAAAGCACCACAGCTGTTCCAACAACTGTAAGCAGCACAAGTGAAGCCAGCTCCTCTACAACTCAAGCTACATTGACATCCACAGTTGCAGACACAACAACCTCAACACTAGGAAGCACGGAGTCCTCCACTGTCAGTAGCTCTACGGCTGAAGTCACTTCAACAAGTACAGAACCTAGCACGACAAGTGAAAACAGCGCAACAACAAGCAGTACTGAAGCCAGCACAACAGCTACAGAAAGCACCACAGCTGTTCCAACAACTGTAAGCAGCACAAGTGAAGCCAGCACCTCTACAACTCAAGCTACATTGACATCCACAGTTGCAGACACAACAACCTCAACACTAGGCAGCACGGAGTCCTCCACTGTCAGTAGCTCTACGGCTGAAGTCACTTCAACAAGTACAGAACCTAGCACGACAAGTGAAACCAGCGCAACAACAAGCAGTACTGAAGCCAGCACAACAGCTACAGAAAGCACCACAGCTGTTCCAACAACTGTAAGCAGCACAAGTGAAGCCAGCACCTCTACAACTCAAGCTACATTGACATCCACAGTTGCAGACACAACAACCTCAACACTAGGCAGCACGGAGTCCTCCACTGTCAGTAGCTCTACGGCTGAAGTCACTTCAACAAGTACAGAACCTAGCACGACAAGTGAAACCAGCGCAACAACAAGCAGTACTGAAGCCAGCACAACAGCTACAGAAAGCACCACAGCTGTTCCAACAACTGTAAGCAGCACAAGTGAAGCCAGCACCTCTACAACTCAAGCTACATTGACATCCACAGTTGCAGACACAACAACCTCAACACTAGGCAGCACGGAGTCCTCCACTGTCAGTAGCTCTACGGCTGAAGTCACTTCAACAAGTACAGAACCTAGCACGACAAGTGAAACCAGCGCAACAACAAGCAGTACTGAAGCCAGCACAACAGCTACAGAAAGCACCACAGCTCTTCCAACAAATGTAAGCAGCACAAGTGAAGCCAGCACCTCTACAACTCAAGCTACATTGACATCCACAGTTGCAGACACAACAACCTCAACACTAGGCAGCACGGAGTCCTCCACTGTCAGTAGCTCTACGGCTGAAGTCACTTCAACAAGTACAGAACCTAGCACGACAAGTGAAACCAGCGCAACAACAAGCAGTACTGAAGCCAGCACAACAGCTACAGAAAGCACCACAGCTGTTCCAACAACTGTAAGCAGCACAAGTGAAGCCAGCACCTCTACAACTCAAGCTACATTGACATCCACAGTTGCAGACACAACAACCTCAACACTAGGCAGCACGGAGTCCTCCACTGTCACTAGCTCTACCGCTGAAGTCACTTCAACAAGTACAGAACCTAGCACGACAAGTGAAACCAGCGCAACAACAAGCAGTACTGAAGCCAGCACAACAGCTACAGAAAACACCACAGCTGCTCCAACAAGTCTAGACAGCACAATAATCGATGTCAACACTTTTTCTACTAAATCTGTTTATACCTCTACAGTTTTGAACATTTTAACCACAACTGGAGATGGCAAGTATTATTTAAGAATAATTCATTGTACAGGGTATATCTTCTGAAGAACACTAATGTTTTTTACTAGCTTCCTGTGTAGCACGGGGAACTGTGTAGCATACATCCATATACTCATTTTATTTGTTGAATTTTCTTAAGCGTATTATTATTACAATATGCGATAGTATGAGTCTGTTAAGTAAGTCACGTTAACTATTTTTATTTATCTGTAATACTTTTCTGCATATTAGATAACAATGACATTCACCATCTTTCTGGCTTTTAAAGGAAAGAAGCGTTAACGTACTTATAGTAGTTGTTATATTTAAGCGCCTTTCGAACTGCACTTAATCCACTAGTTTAAATAACATGATAATATATAATTAAAACTGATAGCTGCTGCTTTTGAAACTCGGGTGAGTTATGTCATGATTGAGTGATCAATTGAAACACATGATTTGTCTGAATATTGATTTCACTAATATATGTACGTTCACAATATTTTCGTTTCACTAATAATAGTAGAGTAAGCTTGTATCTAGTTATTCTGGGCGGGTTTTCAAGATTATATAAAAAAAATTCTAGTTTCCACATTACACATGTATTTCATTATTCAAGTGGATGTATCAAATGTAAAATCATAATGCCTCTTTGAATATGCTGAAAGTCCTCAACTTTTCTTATAACAAGTAAATAACTGAGCGTAGCCTTCGACAAAAATAAATCAATGAAAAATACATTCTGTACTTCTCCCAAATGTATGCTTTTAAACAGTTAATCGATACCGATTCACTTCTGAAATATTTCAAATTGACAATTCTTTACAACAGGAACGACATCGACAGATTTAGGAGCAACAAGTAGTTCTTCTAGCACTGAAGCTGCAAAAACAACAACCTCAGTTGATATTTCATCCAGTGCAACAACAAAGCTTTCAACCGAGCCCATTTCTCCAACCATAGTTTCAAATTCTACATCTAATCTTGAAGGTAAGTTTTCTCTTCCATAAAGTTGGACAGAAATAAAATTAGTAGGACAGAATTCTATGCAATTTGTCAGAAAAGTCAGGGAAAATCTAAAAAGCTTTATTTTCAAAATTTCTAAAATCGTTGATTATAAGCAAACAAAGAAGGTCAAACAGAAGAAAAAGTATAAAGTACTAATACAAAAACGGAGACACAAACACTTACATATTCAAAATATAAAGAGGAGTAATTCCTATGAGAAAAAAACGAAAAATCTTCGGACAACGCTAATCATCAAACGTGAAATAAAAACCGCTACAAATGAAGCAAGATACATCCCAATTTACAGACACAACAACCTCAACACTAGGCAGCACGGAGTCCTCCACTGTCAGTAGCTCTACGGCTGAAGTCACTTCAACAAGTACAGAACCTAGCACGACAATTGAAACCAGCGCAACAAGTAGCAGTACTGAAGCCAGCACAACAGCTACAGAAAGCACCACAGCTGTTCCAACAACTGTAAGCAGCACAAGTGAAGCCAGCACCTCTACAACTCAAGCTACATTGACATCCACAGTTGCAGACACAACAACCTCAACACTAGGCAGCACGGAGTCCTCCACTGTCAGTAGCTATACGGCTGAAGTCACTTCAACAAGTACAAAACCTAGCACGACAAGTGAAACCAGCGCAACAACAAGCAGTACTGAAGCCAGCACAACAGCTACAGAAAGCACCACAGCTGTTCCAACAACTGTAAGCAGCACAAGTGAAGCCAGCACCTCTACAACTCAAGCTACATTGACATCCACAGTTGCAGACACAACAACCTCAACACTAGGCAGCACGGAGTCCTCCACTGTCAGTAGCTCTACCGCTGAAGTCACTTCAACAAGTACAGAAGCTAGCACGACAAGTGAAACCAGCGCAACAACAAGCAGTACTGAAGCCAGCACAACAGCTACAGAAAGCACCACAGCTGTTCCAACAACTGTAAGCAGCACAAGTGAAGCCAGCACCTCTACAACTCAAGCTACATTGACATCCACAGTTGCAGACACAACAACCTCAACACTAGGAAGCACGGAGTCCTCCACTGTCAGTAGCTCTACGGCTGAAGTCACTTCAACAAGTACAGAACCTAGCACGACAAGTGAAACCAGCGCAACAACAAGCAGTACTGAAGCCAGCACAACAGCTACAGAAACCACCACAGCTGTTCCAACAACTGTAAGCAGCACAAGTGAAGCCAGCACCTCTACAACTCAAGCTACATTGACATCCACAGTTGCAGACACAACAACCTCAACACTAGGCAGCACGGAGTCCTCCACTGTCAGTAGCTCTACGGCTGAAGTCACTTCAACAAGTACAGAACCTAGCACGACAAGTGAAACCAGCGCAACAACAAGCAGTACTGAAGCCAGCACAACAGCTACAGAAAGCACCACAGCTGTTCCAACAACTGTAAGCAGCACAAGTGAAGACATCACCTCTACAACTCAAGCTACATTGACATCCACAGTTGCAGACACAACAACCTCAACACTAGGCAGCACGGAGTCCTCCACTGTCAGTAGCTCTACGGCTGAAGTCACTTCAACAAGTACAGAACCTAGCACGACAAGTGAAACCAGCGCAACAACAAGCAGTACTGAAGCCAGCACAACAGCTACAGAAAGCACCACAGCTGTTCCAACAACTGTAAGCAGCACAAGTGAAGCCAGCACCTCTACAACTCAACCTACATTGACATCCACAGTTGCAGACACAACAACCTCAACTCTAGGCACCACGGAGTCCTCCACTGCCAGTAGCTCTACCGCTGAAGTCACTTCAACAAGTACAGAACCTAGCACGACAAGTGAAACCAGCGCAACAACAAGCAGTACTGAAGCCAGCACAACAGCTACAGAAAGCACCACAGCTCTTCCAACAACTGTAAGCAGCACAAGTGAAGCCAGCACCTCTACAACTCAAGCTACATTGACATCCACAGTTGCAGACACAACAACCTCAACACTAGGCAGGACGGAGTCCACTGTCACTAGCTCTACGGCTGAAGTCACTTCAACAAGTACAGAACCTAGCACAAGTGAAACCAGCGCAACAACAAGCAGTACTGAAGCCAGCACAACAGCTACAGAAAGCACCACAGCTGTTCCAACAACTGTAAGCAGCACAAGTGAAGACATCACCTCTACAACTCAAGCTACATTGACATCCACAGTTGCAGACACAACAACCTCAACACTAGGCAGCACGGAGTCCTCCACTGTCAGTAGCTCTACGGCTGAAGTCACTTCAACAAGTACAGAACCTAGCACAAGTAAAACCAGTGCAACAACAAGCAGTACTGAAGCCAGCACAACAGCTACAGAAAGCACCACAGCTGTTCCAACAACTGTAAGCAGCACAAGTGAAGACATCACCTCTACAACTCAAGCTACATTGACATCCACAGTTGCAGACACAACAACCTCAACACTAGGCAGCACGGAGTCCTCCACTGTCAGTAGCTCTACCGCTGAAGTCACTTCAACAAGTACAGAACCTAGCACGACAAGTGAAACCAGCGCAACAACAAGCAGTACTGAAGCCAGCACAACAGCTACAGAAAGCACCACAGCTGTTCCAACAACTGTAAGCAGCACAAGTGAAGCCAGCACCTCTACAACTCAAGCTACATTGACATCCACAGTTGCAGACACAACAACCTCAACACTAGGCAGCACGGAGTCCTCCACTGTCAGTAGCTCTACGGCTGAAGTCACTTCAACAAGTACAGAAGCTAGCACGACAAGTGAAACCAGCGCAACAACAAGCAGTACTGAAGCCAGCACAACAGCTACAGAAAGCACCACAGCTGTTCCAACAACTGTAAGCAGCACAAGTGAAGCCAGCACCTCTACAACTCAAGCTACATTGACATCCACAGTTGCAGACACAACAACCTCAACACTAGGCAGCACGGAGTCCTCCACTGTCAGTAGCTCTACGACTGAAGTCACTTCAACAAGTACAGAACCTAGCACGACAAGTGAAACCAGCGCAACAACAAGCAGTACTGAAGCCAGCACAACAGCTACAGAAACCACCACAGCTCTTCCAACAACTGTAAGCAGCACAAGTGAAGCCAGCACCTCTACAACTCAAGCTACATTGACATCCACAGTTGCAGACACAACAACCTCAACACTAGGAAGCACGGAGTCCTCCACTGTCAGTAGCTCTACGGCTGAAGTCACTTCAACAAGTACAGAACCTACCACGACAAGTGAAACCAGCGCAACAAGTAGCAGTACTGAAACCAGCACAACAGCTTCAGAAAGCACCACAACTGTTCCAACAACTGTAAGCAGCACGAGTGAAGCCAGCACCTCTACAACTCAAGCTACATTGACATCCACAGTTGCAGACACAACAACCTCAACACTAGGCAGCACGGAGTCCTCCACTGTCAGTAGCTCTACGGCTGAAGTCACTTCAACAAGTACAGAACCTAGCACGACAAGTGAAACCAGCGCAACAACAAGAAGTACTGAAGCCAGCACAACAGCTACAGAAAGCACCACAGCTGTTCCAACAACTGTAAAAAGCACAAGTGAAGCCAGCACCTCTACAACTCAAGCTACATTGACATCCACAGTTGCAGACACAGCAATCTCAACACTAGGCAGCACGGAGTCCTCCACTGTCAGTAGCTCTACGGCTGAAGTCACTTCAACAAGTACAGAACCTAGCACGACAAGTGAAACCAGCGCAACAACAAGCAGTACTGAAGCCAGCACAACAGCTACAGAAAGCAGCACAGCTGTTCCAACAACTGTAAGAAGCTCAAGTAAAGCCAGCTCCTCTACAACTCAAGCTACATTGACATCCACAGTTGCAGACACAACAACCTCAACACTAGGCAGGACGGAGTTCTCCACTGTCACTAGCTCTACCGCTGAAGTCACTTCAACAAGTACAGAACCTAGCACGACAAGTGAAACCAGCGCAACAACAAGCAGTACTGAAGCCAGCACAACAGCTACAGAAAGCACCACAGCTGTTCCAACAACTGTAAGCAGCACAAGTGAAGCCAGCTCCTCTACAACTCAAGCTACATTGACATCCACAGTTGCAGACACAACAACCTCAACACTAGGCAGCACGGAGTCCTCCACTGTCACTAGCTCTACGGCTGAAGTCACTTCAACAAGTACAGAACCTAGCACGACAAGTGAAACCAGCCCAACAACAAGCAGTACTGAAGCCAGCACAACAGCTACAGAAAGCACCACAGCTGTTCCAACAACTGTAAGCAGCACAAGTGAAGACATCACCTCTACAACTCAAGCTACATTGACATCCACAGTTGCAGACACAACAACCTCAACACTAGGCAGCACGGAGTCCTCCACTGTCAGTAGCTCTACGGCTGAAGTCACTTCAACAAGTACAGAACCTAGCACGACAAGTGAAACCAGCGCAACAACAAGCAGTACTGAAGCCAGCACAACAGCTACAGAAAGCACCACAGCTCTTCCAACAACTGTAAGCAGCACAAGTGAAGCCAGCACCTCTACAACTCAAGCTACATTGACATCCACAGTTGCAGACACAACAACCTCAACACTAGGCAGCACGGAGTCCTCCACTGTCAGTAGCTCTACGGCTGAAATCACTTCAACAAGTACAGAACCTAGCACGACAAGTGAAACCAGCGCAACAAGTAGCAGTACTGAAGCCAGCACAACAGCTACAGAAAGCACCACAGCTGTTCCAACAACTGTAAGCAGCACAAGTGAAGCCAGCACCTCTACAACTCAAGCTACATTGACATCCACAGTTGCAGACACAACAACCTCAACACTAGGCAGCACGGAGTCCTCCACTGTCAGTAGCTCTACCGCTGAAGTCACTTCAACAAGTACAGAACCTAGCACGACAAGTGAAACCAGCGCAACAACAAGCAGTACTGAAGCCAGCAACACAGCTACAGAAAGCACCACAGCTCTTCCAACAACTGTAAGCAGCACAAGTGAAGCCAGCACCTCTACAACTCAAGCTACATTGACATCCACAGTTGCAGACACAACAACCTCAACACTAGGCAGCACGGAGTCCTCCACTGTCAGTAGCTCTACGGCTGAAGTCACTTCAACAAGTACAGAACCTAGCACGACAAGTGAAACCAGTGCAACAACAAGCAGTACTGAAGCCAGCACAACAGCTACAGAAAGCACCACAGCTCTTCCAATAACTGTAAGCAGCACAAGTGAAGCCAGCACCTCTACAACTCAAGCTACATTGACATCCACAGTTGCAGACACAACAACCTCAACACTAGGCAGCACGGAGTCCTCCACTGTCAGTAGCTCTACGGCTGAAGTCACTTCAACAAGTACAGAACCTAGCACGACAAGTGAAACCAGCGCAACAACAAGCAGTACTGAAGCCAGCACAACAGCTACAGAAACCACCACAGCTGTTCCAACAACTGTAAGCAGCACAAGTGAAGCCAGCACCTCTACAACTCAAGCTACATTGACATCCACAGTTGCAGACACAACAACCTCAACACTAGGCAGCACGGAGTCCTCCACTGTCACTAGCTCTACGGCTGAAGTCACTTCAACAAGTACAGAACCTAGCACGACAAGTGAAACCAGCGCAACAACAAGCAGTACTGAAGCCAGCACAACAGCTACAGAAAGCACCACAGCTGCTCCAACAAGTCTAGACAGCACAATAATCGATGTCAACACTTTTTCTACTAAATCTGTTTACACCTCTACAGTTTTGAACATTTTAACCACAACTGGAGATGGCAAGTATTGTTTAAGAATAATTCATTGTACAGGGTATATCTTCTGAAGAACACTAATGTTTTTTACTAGCTTCCTGTGTAGCACGGGGAACTGTGTAGCATACATCTATATACTCAATTTATTTGTTGAATTTTCTTAAGCGTATTATTACAATATGCAATAGTATGAGTCTGTTAAGTAAGTCACGTTAACTATTTTTATTTATCTGTAATACTTTTCTGCATATTAGATAACAATGACATTCACCATCTTTCTGGCTTTTAAAGGAAAGAAGCTTTAACGTACTTATAGTAGTTGTTATATTTAAGCGCCTTTCGAACTGCACTTAATCCACTAGTTTAAATAACATGATAATATATAATTAAAACTGATAGCTGCTGCTTTTGAAACTCGGGTGAGTTATGTCATGATTGAGTGATCAATTGAAGCACATGATTTGTCTGAATATTGATTTCACTAATATATGTACGTTCACAATATTTTCGTTTCACTAATAATAGTAGAGTAAGCTTGTATCTAGTTATTCTGGGCGGGTTTTCAAGATCTCCCAAATGTATGCTTTTAAACAGTTAATCGATACCGATTCACTTCTGAATTATTTCAAATTGACAATTCTTTACAACAGGAACGACATCGACAGATTTAGGAGCAACAAGTACTTCTTCTAGCACTGAAGCTGCAAAAACAACCTCAGTTGATATTTCATCCAGTGCAACAACAAAGCTTTCAACCGAGCCCATTTCTCCAACCATAGTTTCAAATTCTACATCTAATCTTGAAGGTAAGTTTTCTCTTCCATAAAGGTGGACAGAAATAAAATTAGTAGGACAGAATTCTATGCAATTTGTCAGAAAAGTCAGGGAAAATCTAAAAAGCTTTATTTTCAAAAATTCTAAAATCGTTGATTATAAGCAAACAAAGAAGGTTAAAACAGAAGGAAAAGTATAAAGTACTAATACAAAAACGGAGACACAAACACTTACATATTCAAAATATAAAGAAGAGTAATTCCTATAAGAAAAAAACGAAAAATCTTCGGACAACGCTAATCATCAAACGTGAAATAAAAACCGCTACAAATGAAGCAAGATACATCCCAATTTACAGACACAACATCCTCAACACAAGGCAGCACGGAGTCCTCCACTGTCAGTAGCTCTACGGCTGAAGTCACTTCAACAAGTAAAGAACCTACCACGACAAGTGAAACCAGCGCAACAACAAGAAATACTGAAGCCAGCACAACAGCTACAGAAAGCACCACAGCTGTTCCAACAACTGTAAGCAGCACAAGTGAAGCCAGCACCTCTACAACTCAAGCTACATTGACATCCACAGTTGCAGACACAACAACCTCAACACTAGGCAGCACGGAGTCCTCCACTGTCAGTAGCTCTACGGCTGAAGTCACTTCAACAAGTACAGAACCTAGCACGACAAGTGAAACCAGGGCAACAAGTAGCAGTACTGAAACCAGCACAACAGCTACAGAAAGCACCACAACTGTTCCAACAACTGTAAGCAGCACGAGTGAAGCCAGCACCTCTACAACTCAAGCTACATTGACATCCACAGTTGCAGACACAACAACCTCAACACTAGGCAGCACGGAGTCCTCCACTGTCAGTATCTCTACGGCTGAAGTCACTTCAACAAGTACAGAACCTAGCACGACAAGTGAAACCAGCGCAACAACAAGAAGTACTGAAGCCAGCACAACAGCTACAGAAAGCACCACAGCTGTTCCAACAACTGTAAGCAGCACAAGTGAAGCCAGCACCTCTACAACTCAAGCTACATTGACATCCACAGTTGCAGACACAACAACCTCAACACTAGGCAGCACGGAGTCCTCCACTGCCAGTAGCTCAACGGCTGAAGTCACTTCAACAAGTACAGAACCTAGCACGACAAGTGAAACCAGCGCAACAACAAGCAGTACTGAAGCCAGCACAACAGCTACAGAAAGCACCACAGCTGTTCCAACAACTGTAAGCAGCACAAGTGAAGACATCACCTCTACAACTCAAGCTACATTGACATCCACAGTTGCAGACACAACAACCTCAACACTAGGCAGCACGGAGTCCTCCACTGTCAGTAGCTCTACGGCTGAAGTCACTTCAACAAGTACAGAACCTACCACGACAAGTGAAACCAGCGCAACAACAAGCAGTACTGAAGCCAACACAACAGCTACAGAAAGCACCACAGCTGTTCCAACAACTGTAAGCAGCACAAGTGAAGCCAGCACCTCTACAACACAAGCTACATTGACATCCAAAGTTGCAGACACAACAACCTCAACACTAGGCAGCACGGAGTCCTCCACTGTCAGTAGCTCTACCGCTGAAGTCACTTCAACAAGTACAGAACCTAGCACGACAAGTGAAACCAGCGCAACAACAAGCAGTACTGAAGCCAACACAACAGCTACAGAAAGCACCACAGCTGTTCCAACAACTGTAAGCAGCACAAGTGAAGCCAGCTCCTCTACAACTCAAGCTACATTGACATCCACAGTTGCAGACACAACAACCTCAACACTAGGCAGCACGGAGTCCTCCACTGTCAGTAGCTCTACGGCTGAAGTCACTTCAACAAGTACAGAACCTAGCACGACAAGTGAAACCAGCGCAACAACAAGCAGTACTGAAGCCAGCACAACAGCTACAGAAAGCACCACAGCTGTTCCAACAACTGTAAGCAGCACAAGTGAAGCCAGCTCCTCTACAACTCAAGCTACATTGACATCCACAGTTGCAGACACAACAACCTCAACACTAGGCAGCACGGAGTCCTCCACTGTCAGCAGCTCTACCGCTGAAGTCACTTCAACAAGTACAGAACCTAGCACGACAAGTGAAACCAGCGCAACAACAAGCAGTACTGAAGCCAGCACAACAGCTACAGAAAGCACCACAGCTGTTCCAACAACTGTAAGCAGCACAAGTGAAGGCAGCACCTCTACAACTCAAGCTACATTGACATCCACAGTTGCAGACACAACAACCTCAACACTAGGCAGCACGGAGTCCTCCACTGTCAGTAGCTCTACGGCTGAAGTCACTTCAACAAGTAAAGAACCTAGCACGACAAGTGAAACCAGCGCAACAACAAGCAGTACTGAAGCCAGCACAACAGCTACAGAAAGCACCACAGCTGTTCCAACAACTGTAAGCAGCACAAGTGAAGCCAGCACCTCTACAACTCAAGCTACATTGACATCCACAGTTGCAGACACAACAACCTCAACACTAGGCAGCACGGAGTCCTCCACTGTCAGTAGCTCTACGGCTGAAGTCACTTCAACAAGTAAAGAACCTAGCACGACAAGTGAAACCAGCGCAACAACAAGCAGTACTGAAGCCAGCACAACAGCTACAGAAAGCACCACAGCTCTTCCAACAACTGTAAGCAGCACAAGTGAAGCCAGCACCTCTACAACTCAAGCTACATTGACATCCACAGTTGCAGACACAACAACCTCAACACTAGGCAGCACGGAGTCCTCCACTGTCAGTAGCTCTACGGCTGAAGTCACTTCAACAAGTACAGAACCTAGCACGACAAGTGAAACCAGCGCAACAACAAGCAGTACTGAAGCCAGCACAACAGCTACAGAAAGCACCACAGCTGTTCCAACAACTGTAAGCAGCACAAGTGAAGCCAGCACCTCTACAACTCAAGCTACATTGACATCCACAGTTGCAGACACAACAACCTCAACACTAGGCAGCACGGAGTCCTCCACTGTCAGTAGCTCTACGGCTGAAGTCACTTCAACAAGTACAGAACCTAGCACGACAAGTGAAACCAGCGCAACAACAAGCAGTACTGAAGCCAGCACAACAGCTACAGAAAGCACCACAGCTCTTCCAACAAATGTAAGCAGCACAAGTGAAGCCAGCACCTCTACAACTCAAGCTACATTGACATCCACAGTTGCAGACACAACAACCTCAACACTAGGCAGCACGGAGTCCTCCACTGTCAGTAGCTCTACGGCTGAAGTCACTTCAACAAGTACAGAACCTAGCACGACAAGTGAAACCAGCGCAACAACAAGCAGTACTGAAGCCAGCACAACAGCTACAGAAAGCACCACAGCTGTTCCAACAACTGTAAGCAGCACAAGTGAAGCCAGCACCTCTACAACTCAAGCTACATTGACATCCACAGTTGCAGACACAACAACCTCAACACTAGGCAGCACGGAGTCCTCCACTGTCAGTAGCTCTACGGCTGAAGTCACTTCAACAAGTACAGAACCTAGCACGACAAGTGAAACCAGCGCAACAACAAGCAGTACTGAAGCCAGCACAACAGCTACAGAAAGCACCACAGCTCTTCCAACAACTGTAAGCAGCACAAGTGAAGCCAGCACCTCTACAACTCAAGCTACATTGACATCCACAGTTGCAGACACAACAACCTCAAGACTAGGCAGCACGGAGTCCTCCACTGTCAGTAGCTCTACCGCTGAAGTCACTTCAACAAGTACAGAACCTAGCACGACAAGTGAAACCAGCGCAACAACAAGCAGTACTGAAGCCAGCACAACAGCTACAGAAAGCACCACAGCTCTTCCAACAACTGTAAGCAGCACAAGTGAAGCCAGCACCTCTACAACTCAAGCTACATTGACATCCACAGTTGCAGACACAACAACCTCAACACTAGGCAGCACGGAGTCCTCCACTGTCAGTAGCTCTACCGCTGAAGTCACTTCAACAAGTACAGAACCTAGCACGACAAGTGAAACCAGCGCAACAACAAGCAGTACTGCAGCCAGCACAACAGCTACAGAAAGCACCACAGCTGTTCCAACAACTGTAAGCAGCACAAGTGAAGCCAGCACCTCTACAACTCAAGCTACATTGACATCCACAGTTGCAGACACAACAACCTCAACACTAGGCAGCACGGAGTCCTCCATTGTCAGTAGCTCTACCGCTGAAGTCACTTCAACAAGTACAGAACCTAGCACGACAAGTGAAACCAGCGCAACAACAAGCAGTACTGAAGCCAGCACAACAGCTACAGAAAGCACCACAGCTCTTCCAACAACTGTAAGCAGCACAAGTGAAGCCAGCACCTCTACAACTCAAGCTACATTGACATCCACAGTTGCAGACACAACAACCTCAAGACTAGGCAGCACGGAGTCCTCCACTGTCAGTAGCTCTACCGCTGAAGTCACTTCAACAAGTACAGAACCTAGCACGACAAGTGAAACCAGCGCAACAACAAGCAGTACTGAAGCCAGCACAACAGCTACAGAAAGCACCACAGCTCTTCCAACAACTGTAAGCAGCACAAGTGAAGCCAGCACCTCTACAACTCAAGCTACATTGACATCCACAGTTGCAGACACAACAACCTCAACACTAGGCAGCACGGAGTCCTCCACTGTCACTAGCTCTACCGCTGAAGTCACTTCAACAAGTACAGAACCTAGCACGACAAGTGAAACCAGCGCAACAACAAGCAGTACTGAAGCCAGCACAACAGCTACAGAAAGCACCACAGCTGTTCCAACAACTGTAAGCAGCACAAGTGAAGCCAGCACCTCTACAACTCAAGCTACATTGACATCCACAGTTGCAGACACAACAACCTCAACACTAGGCAGCACGGAGTCCTCCACTGTCAGTAGCTCTACGGCTGAAGTCACTTCAACAAGTACAGAACCTAGCACGACAAGTGAAACCAGCGCAACAACAAGCAGTACTGAAGCCAGCACAACAGCTACAGAAAGCACAACACCTGTTCCAACAACTGTAAGCAGAACAAGTGAAGCCAGCACCTCTACAACTCAAGCTACATTGACATCCACAGTTGCAGACACAACCTCAACACTAGGCAGCACGGAGTCCTCCACTGTCAGTAGCTCTACCGCTGAAGTCACTTCAACAAGTACAGAACCTAGCACGACAAGTGAAACCAGCGCAACAACAAGCAGTACTGAAGCCAGCACAACAGCTACAGAAAGCACCACAGCTCTTCCAACAACTGTAAGCAGCACAAGTGAAGCCAGCACCTCTACAACTCAAGCTACATTGACATCCACAGTTGCAGACACAACAACCTCAACACTAGGCAGCACGGAGTCCTCAACTGTCAGTAGCTCTACGGCTGAAGTCAC